TATGTACAGCGTACATTTATATATACAGTGGTGGTCACGAGTTTAGCACACTTTGCTCGCCCATCGTATTTTCGCCATATCTCCTTTCTCGTTAGAGATTTCGACTTTCTGTTTTCACCCACCTTCGTGCTGGAAATAGAGCAACTTCCACTGTTAATATTGTCCCATTCGCTTTTACCGTTCTTCTTTGGCGATATTTTAAGTTGTGCAACCTCCAAAATGAGCTGGACACGAGTTTAGCACACTTTAGCACATTTATACCTTTTCACCCTTCTGATCATTTTTTTTCGACTTTTTACTCCTTATTGTTATTAGTGAACCTTAGTAAGGTACAAAAATAAAGAAACGAAAAATCTAGATAAATCGCAGGGACTCTGCTACATAAATAACTAAAATTATCTAAATATCCCATTTTTAGGCAGGATAAGTGTCCTAGTTGATCCTTGTTGGTCCTAATCAATTATATTTACTTGTTTTACTTAAAATTAAACAATTATAAGATAATGCGGTTGAAAACATAGAGCTGGGACCTGATACAGTGACTCCACATTGCATGGCATTTCAGCAGATCCTGATTTTCGAGTCCTTTCAAATTTTCTAAAAATCTCCGGACCACATATTTTTGTAGCCAATTAAAAGACAAACAAAATGAGGTATATATCATTAGGATCGGTTAACAACTTCCTGCGACACGCATAAAGTTCTAAATAAAAACATTACAGCTTTAACTTAAAGCACGATTTGCATACAAAATTTCATAGAATCGAAACTTGAATATTAATATTAAAGTGTTGCTATGCCTTTGCCTACGAAGTTGTTAACCGATCTTAATGATATATACCTCATTTTGTTTGTCTTTTAATTGGCTACAAAAATATGTGGTCCGGAGATTTTTAGAAAATTTGAAAGGACTCGAAAATCAGGATCTGCTGAAATGCCATGCAATGTGGAGTCACTGTATCAGGTCCCAGCTCTATGTTTTCAACCGCATTATCTTATAATTGTTTAATTTTAAGTAAAACAAGTAAATATAATTGATTAGGACCAACAAGGATCAACTAGGACACTTATCCTGCCTAAAAATGGGATATTTAGATAATTTTAGTTATTTATGTAGCAGAGTCCCTGCGATTTATCTAGATTTTTCGTTTCTTTATTTTTGTACCTTACTAAGGTTCACTAATAACAATAAGGAGTAAAAAGTCGAAAAAAAATGATCAGAAGGGTGAAAAGGTATAAATGTGCTAAAGTGTGCTAAACTCGTGTCCAGCTCATTTTGGAGGTTGCACAACTTAAAATATCGCCAAAGAAGAACGGTAAAAGCGAATGGGACAATATTAACAGTGGAAGTTGCTCTATTTCCAGCACGAAGGTGGGTGAAAACAGAAAGTCGAAATCTCTAACGAGAAAGGAGATATGGCGAAAATACGATGGGCGAGCAAAGTGTGCTAAACTCGTGACCACCACTGTAGGTAGGTTGTGTACCCACAATCGAGTGCTGCTTTTAATTGCCTGCATAAAAAATAAAGACGTTTCCATTCCCACACCAATTGTTGCTCGGCCAAGTGGTGCTAAAGTTTCAGATACATTTATAGGCGGTCTTTAAGGTCGCCCAATAGAAAAAATCGTTTAAAGAGTTTATGGGTTCCGAAAACTAAAAAAAAGTAAGTAATGTACAACAAAAGTTTTGGTTAATAGATAGTGAGAAGTATAACAAAAGTTTTCTTATTATATAAATATTTATCAACTATTTTAATAAAGTCCTGGAGGACCTATTACTCTCTCTGTTGCATCTTTTCAGTTTCCGTTTTCAGTTTAGCTTGGGTGTGGTGTGTGCTTAGCGAGCATTAAAGCCAATACCCGTTTTATGGAAAACTTTCGACACTGGGCAAACATTTGCCAAGTTTTCCAGCTCTTCTCGCTGAAGACTTTCTTGTTCGTCTTTTGGTCGTTGGAAGTGTAAACAGCGCCTCAGTTTGCCCCGCAACTATATAGCGACTATAGAAACTATATCCCGCTTTTGTGGCGAACTCCTCACCCAAACACACATGCATACTCCCAGCATCCTTGCGTTCGCTTCAAGTATTCGCATTTGCCGCTGCACTTTTTGCCAACTTTTGTAAAGCACTCACGTACTGACGACGTTGCATGTGTGCATGTGGAACGTGCTGGTTGCCAATTCTATTGCGTAAGTGTGCGGCATTCGGGACACTACACACGGAGAAATTCTTAATGAGTGGGTAAATAATTCTCTCATATATCAGGAGATGATTTGAAATATTTTATAAAAATGATATTTTTAATACCAGACTGTTCTTTAGACGGGTCTTTTCTGTTATATAAAAATCTGATACTATTAATTAAGATAAGATATCTGATATTAAGAGATTAATATAAAAGAATATCCCATTTTTTTTTGTTTTCCAAAAAACTCCCTATTTTTCGGTTCAGCTATCTGAATGGCATCTTTTTTTCATGTGTAGCCAGCTTACATCTAGATGACTGTGAAAGGAAGTGCTGAACCGACTGTCAAGTGGGCAACTCATGGCGTAATCAAATTATTCCCGTTGCCTGGGCCCGCCAAACTGATTCCTGGGCTTCCGCATCACCGGGGTCATCATGCGTGTTAATTAATACCAGATGCTAAGGCTCCAACTACGACTCTGACCCACTGACCAAACTGACATCAGGAGGCACGTGTGTGCCTGCCGATCAATTATGCTAACGAGGGGCAGCAACAGCCTGCCAGCCCGTCTCCCATTTCGTTTGCATTAAAAATTAAAGAAACTAGAGCAAATGTGAGGTGGAATGACAGCAGGAGCACGTGCCTGGCGACTAAAATCCTGTGAGGTGATCTGGGCCCAGTCGAATAAAGTGCAAATCACTTTTTACCTCTCTAAAAAATATTAAACAATCAGTGCTTAAACATGGCTAAGCAGAATACGTCACCTCAAGCGATAGTAAATATTTTTTTATCAATTAACAAACATGTTATCATATAGAAAAAAAAATCTCCTTTATTTTCTGATGTTTTTTTCTTAACCAGAAAACCCTGATTGCCCATTTTGTGACTGAATTCAATGACATTTATTATTTAAAAAGATTAAAAAAATCTTTTTAAATTTGAAAAACCAAATTCAGAGTGCTAATTTCTGTCGGAATGAACTTTATTCCATAAATTAAATAATTTTTAATTTTTTTATTTATATTTTTCATTTTAAAAACATGCTATTATGATATTAAATATTAAGCGCTTTTCATTGTGCGACCAGAAATCTCTTCAAAACTGTAAATGTGTGCATATAATGGCTTTTGTAGCTGTGTTTTTTTAGTTTTATTAATTTCAGAGTGCAAATTTCTCCCCAATGGAACTTAATTCCATGAATTACATAATTTGTATTTTTCTTTGTAATATTTCTCATACAAAAAACATGCTATTATTAAATATTAAACGCTTATCATTGTGCAACCAGAAATCACTTTAATGCTACAAATGTGCGCAAATAATTGCTTTTGTAGCCATGTTTAACTTGCTTTAATTAAATTCAGAGAGCATTTTCCACTGACCAAACATGGCCTAAATTGTCCTAATTCCCTGGCACAAAGCAAATGAAAATGTTGAATCAAAATTAAAATTCACATCGGCCGCAAAGCAAAGACAATCCGAGGAGCTGACCACAAAAGAGGGCTGAGGGAAGCCAGGCCAGATGTGGCCAGCTGGGAAACTGGGTGAAAATGCGGTTGGCCTCGGGCCGCATACACATCCGCATACGACTGGCGGTGCTAACCCCTATCTAACATTACACCTGCTGCACTTTGGTAAGTGGCCGGGCACAAGGAGCAAATTGAATTTGCCACGGGGCGGATGTGGAATGTGGGTGGGCGAACAATGGGGGGTCTGGCCACCGGATATCCGCTGGGCTCTCTGGCCACCTTATGAAATATGCAACAGCCATTCTGCCAGCCTGCCGTACTTTCCGCCGTACTGTTCTTCCGTTTGCCGGATTCAGGTCGCACCGCACACAATTGAATCCTTCGCCATTTCATACGGCTCCAAATTCAAATTCAAATTCGACGGAATATTTGGCACCAGGAGCTGCAATGAACTATGAAGTTAGATTAGATTAAGCCTGTTGTGGAGGGGAGGGTCGTGTCTATTAGGAATTTTAAATGCAATTTGGGTTTATCAGGCGCGAGCTCGTTTGTAATTCCCAGAAATGCAAAACAAATTTAATCCGAAAGTTAAATTAAATAATAATTTCAATTTGTTCTTCGTTACTTAGGCGTTTATCTCGTATTATGGAATTTATACGCTGAAATGACTACATATCTTTTTAAGTTTTTAACATGGCCGCAAAAAAATATAATAAATATGTGTTGTACATCATTTAGATTAATTGCACCCTAGTTATTACACATTAGATTTACTGTTTTGTGCAACTTTTGTAGAAAAATCCTTTCTGTCCCGTCTTTGGTCTCGACTCTCTATCGAATCTCCTTCAAACTCATGTTGTACATTTGTTTTCTTCTACTTTCTTTCTTTTTATAGCTTCAAGCTAAGCAAAAACGTAGTAAATGAACAAAAGAAAAAGCAACAAAAATCAAAAGTCAAAATCAAAACAAGACAAACATAAATGTAAATTGGTATGCAAATAAACTAAACAAGAGTTGCCGATGCAACAAAAACAACTACAACTACAGATCAAACAGATAAAACAACAAAAACATCAACAACAGCCAGCAACAACAATAAACAAGAACAAAGTTACAGAGTTACAGCAACAAGAACAACAACAACAACCGCTGCTAGTAGATTATAAACTTAACAAAAACGTACATTTTGTGTAATATTTACATTTTTTGTCGAGGCACCCAAGCAAAGTAACATTTTGCAACGTAGACTCTTAGGCGTCGCACACAAAAACAAATAAAACCCAAGAACACAACAGCAACATCAGCAACATCTGCAACACCAGCAACATCTGCAACATCAGCAACCAGAGCAACATACAACATCCATCCGAAACCGCAAACATCCAACAATCCACCATCGCCACCACCACGAACCACATGAGCCTGAACAAGATCAAGAAGCGGGACGCGAGCGACTTATGACTGATGCGCTCCAAGGGCAGCGTCGGCGTCGGCGTTCCCGTCGGCGTCGCCGTTGGCAGCGGCAGCCGGTACAAGGTGACGGCCCGCTGCGTGCCCGAAGTGAGCATCACGTCGCCGACGACTGCATCCGGCGGCGCCAGCATCCAGCCCAAGCACTTTGCCCTGCTCCGCAGTCGCTCGCAACCGTCGCCGCCGCCGTCTAACAGCCTTTTCTCCACGCCAGGCGGGGCCACTCTGGTCGAGGAGGAGGATTTCAGCTTGGCCAGCGGCAGCGGCACAGCGGCCAAGAACGTGCTCCAGCGCCAGCTGGCCACCACCGTGCAGCAGGAGGATCCGGAAGTGGAGCATTCGGTGCAGGAGCACAACAGTTGCAAGTTGCCCGTTGCCGAGCCGGCGGAACCGCCCAATGAGCTCACTCCGCTGGTGGAGGAGCCCGGTTCCGTAGCGCCAAGCCATCGCTATAGTCACAACTCCAAGACCACTCGCTCCTGGCCGGTCATCTACCGCAATCCTCACCACTGCGACTACGAGGCGTTGTACGTGCAACAGCAGCAGCAGCAACAGCAGAGCTTCAAGCAGAACTGCTACTCCAATCAGTTCAAGCAGTCCATCGTCTACTCCAGCAGCAATGAGGAGCTGCCCGGCGGCGAGCCGGTAGCCTCGAGTTCCGCCGACAACCGCCAGACGACGTGCTACTACTTTGCGCCCAGCCGGCACAACAGCATTTATGAGCACCCCTCCTCGGTGGTCGGGGGATCCCTGCAGTTCGATAATCCAACGACCACAGCAGCTGCGGCGGCGGCCGTCGAGAGTTTGAGGCGCAGCAACAGCATCCTGTTGCGTCAGAACAGCTGCGCCAAGGTCATCCAGCGTCGGGGCAGCGGCAGCGGTTCACCCACCTCCCTGGGCTCCCAGATGGAGGGACTGGGCATGGGCATGGGCGGCGGGGGAGGCGGCAGCGCCTGCTGCTCCAGCTGCTGCATGGGCCCGCCGCCGGTGCTCTTCCTGTTCGTCACCCTGCTGATGACCACCAGTGCCACGGCCATGCTCTGCGCCGCCATCATGACCGACCACTGGGAGCACGTGACGTGGGACCGCAACAGCCTCGATCGCTACACGAATCGGTCGGGACTGCACCTGGAGTGGCTGCTCGACGACCAGGTGGCCATGCTCAAGCCGGACAAGAGGGGTGAGACAAAAACTGCAATTAAAACATTATTTATCTTAGTGAAGATTAAAGCCCTGCATGAATAGATTCAATGAATTATTTTAAATTTTTTGTTTTATATGAATGAATTAATTAGAATTTTGAGTTTAATAGAATTGAATGAATATTAATTTTGAGTTTAATAGAATTAATTGAATGAATGGCATGATTTCCGAAATAATTCGAACGACAATTTCTTTTAAAGAATAAAGGCCCATAATTTTGTGATTTGCCTGTATTTTATTTACCAAGCAGTTAACATTGATTTGGTAAAAACTTTCCACTTATTGTTCTCAAAAAAAAGCAAAAAAAAATCTGGCAAATTCCAAAAATTCATAAAAATTATGTATTAATTCATTCAATTCGAAATGAATTAGAAAAACATTCAATTTGTTTCACATAGAATTGAATTAAACAAATCAGAAGTTTCATGGCATAATATGATAAAACAAAAATTGAATGATTCACGCAGGGCTCTAGTGTATATATTCATACTCACTTTTCAATCTTTCTAATACAGCCGATCATCGCTTCCGGCGCGACTCCGTGTTCCTGGTGCCCATGCATGGCGGCATCTGGACGCTGTGCATCGATCTGCCCATCCAGCAGCTGCAGGAACTGCGGCGCAATCCCAAGTTCCCGCGCGGTGCTCCGCCGTGCGTCAACTACCTGGCCGGCTCCATGGAGAACGCCCGCGGCGAGGAGCAGCGCAACGACTGGCAGCACAGTGAGTCACAGGTCACTCTGCAGCCGCATCTGAGTACGTATCCTGGGGCAGTCCGACTGTGTATCCCACACTCCAGTTCCCACTCCGATATAACTTTCTTTGGGGAAGTCTCCCGTATTTATTGTTTACACTTCTTGCCTTCCTTCTTCGTTTTTCGTTTCTCGTTTAATACAAAACATTATTTTATGTACGCACTTAGCACTAATTGTGATTGTAAACTTACAGACTTACAGAGAATTTTGGTAGAAAACAGCAAACAAATAGCATAAATAGGTTCGAGGAATAGGACAGTTGAATGGTGTTGAATGCGTGTGAGTGGGTTTAAGTAGCTGATGTTGTGTGGAGTGGTGTGTGTTGTGGGCATGGAATGTTCCCCCTTAGACGGCGGCACGCTTGGCCGGCGAGCACAGAGCCTCGGCCTCCGAGCTGGGCTCCTCGGGCTTCTTGCGCTTGATCAAGTGAGTGATGTCAGTGGGCTTGGCGGAACTGCTACTGATGGCCGACGAAGAGGCCGCCGCGGTGCTTTTGGAGGTGGACGATGAGGAGCTAGCAGCTCCATTGGCTGACGACGACGAGGATGAAGATGCTGCAGCTGCATCGCCGCTGCTCATTGGCTTGATATAGCTATCCAGGGCAGCTCGCACCTCAGCAATGGTCTACAAATTAAACAGAATGATTATTAGATACTCGGATCTACATATTAAGCAATTAAACAGTCACCTGTGCCTGCATCTCTTCGATTTCCTGTATCTTGGCCAGAATCTCCTGCTTGGTCTCCTCCAAATCCAGCATATTGTTCCTGTCGCGCTCGCTAGGCTCGTCCTTGCCCTTGATTTCGGCAATCTCCTCCTCGATTAACGAGCTCGATTGTCGCAGGGCTGACGCGCCCTCCTTGTTCAGTTGCTGCATCAGATAGGTCAGCCCGATCTTGTAGTGCAACTCGGCCAAAGCCCGACGGTTCCTTGTGGGCAGCTCGCCGTGGATTTTCAGCGCTTTCTCTGTAATAAAAGACGGCAATTAGTAGTGTTATTAAATATAACAAATATAAAAACAAACCCACCATAATCCTCGCGTGCTGCCTCGAGAATTCCGTTCTCAAACTCAATGTTGGCCAGCTCTGTCTGAACTTCGGCCAAGTATGGTAGACCACTGAGGCCCTGGCGCGTGAAGATCTGGGCAGCCGCCTCCAGGATCTCCCAGGCCAACTGCAGACTTCCGCTGACTCCCTCCTCCTCCTCTGGCTCCTCCTCGCCGGCGGCTCCTGCTCCGTTGGAGCAACTGGCTGTGACTTCGCCATTCGATGTGCTCGGTCGCTCGTCATCGTTGACGGCAGCTCCTCCTCCTCCTCCGCCATTGCTGCTGCTGACCTCATCCACGCCGGTGGGTGCCTTCTTGGAGTTCTTTTCATCGGTCTGAGCTTGCTCGGCCTCGCCGGTGGAGTCGGCCTCATCGGATCCCTCCTTGATGGAGTCCAGCTTCTTGCCGTTTGTGCTGCTCGCTCCATTGGCGGCCTCCTTGGTCTCCTCCTTCTTTTCCTCCTTAACGTCCTCCTTCTTGGCCTCTCCATCCTCGGCGCTTTCTTCTTCATCGTCGTCCATATCCTCGTCATCATCATCGGCAGCCTCATCAGGCACGTCGATCACTTTGTTTTCATCCAGGGCCATGGCAATCAGAGCCTTGGCATAGCTGTAGGAATTACAATGGATTTTAAGAATTATGAAGATAAAAATAAAGATTCATCATACTCACAGCAACAAGGGCTGTCCCAGCTCATCGGCCAGCTCCCCGTAGACCTCCTCGTACAGCTGGCACACCTGGCTCAGCTCGTCGGCCGCCTCGTCGTAGCTCTTCACCAGGAAGTTGCGCGATCCCTGGCTGAACAGCTCCTTGCCCTTGAGTATTTTCTCGGCACGTTCCTGTTCGGTCTTTCCGGTTCCCTCGGTGGACACCGCCGGCACGTTGTCCGGCGTTGTATCAGCGGCCACGGGCTCCACCGAAACTGTCTTGCTCGGTGAGGAGACATCGGCGGCGGCCGTTGTGACGATTGCTTCGGCTTCAGCAGACATTTTAGGCGGTTAAAAAAGTATCTAGGGAAGAAGGGAAAATTATTCATCAATAAAAGATTGCGTACAAAAAATATTAAGCTAAATATATAACTTAACGCAATTTTACATTCTAGTTTGGCACATTATTTGACTTTCTAGTGGTTATAAGATTTCTTTTATTTGGTCTTTAGTCTCCCAATCTCCTAATCTCATCCCCTCATTCCACACCCTAATATTCCTCGTAGGTTGAGCCCTAGGCGTCACTTTCGATGTATGTAGAAGACCACAAATATTCATTATTTTCTAAAAATTCTTATAAATTCTATTTTTACGCACTTGCACAAGCTTTGAGCACTCCCCGCCACCACCTGATTCACCTCGATTCATTTCACTTGGCTTAAAATTTTTAGCTCCAAGCTGTCGCACATTTCACAAGTCATTACCGCAAATCCCATTTGCAGCAGCTCAAAGATGTGGGTGCCCGCAAGTCCCCGGAGCATATCAGATAAAAAAGAACAAAAGCAAAAGGCAGGCATCAACAAATCCAGGGAGAGTATCCTTGTACCGACTATATAAAGTAATTACCACAGCAGCTAACCGAGCTTGGCTCCGGTTTTCTATATTGTCAATACTGGTCGGTCTCCTGCTCCCCGAAGATGAAACATGTCCGTGTCGAGAGTTGCTTGCTCATGGCGGTAAACTTGGATGGGAAGGGGGTTTCCAATATGGGTCACCATCCTCTCCTGCCTGCGCTCTAGAAATCGCAATTGCCACTCTGGCATTTTGCTAACTTTTTATGGTGTTCCTGTGGCACCAAACACACACAGGCAGGCACCCACATGCGATTTAATTGCTGTGGTGCTATTGGGTAATTGGTTTTACAGTTGCCCAGATTGTGAGCGGAAATTGGAGAACTGTGCTGGGCCACAATGAATTTACGGGCGGGCATAGCAAATGCGATTAAGTTTGTAGCAAATCCACAGAGAAAAGGCAACTTTAAGCTGGCTGAAAGGATGCATTTGTAACATTTAATCCGATTGAGATTTTTAGAAAAGATTTTCCATTTGCATTGAACATCTGAAGGCTTTCGCTTGCTTTCCTTTCCTCATTCAAACCTGTAAAATATTCCCTGACTTAAGCATTTTGATATAATATTTTTTAAAGATGTTATGTTATCAAATTATAATCTCTGATTTTCCTTAGGAATGCAAAACCTCTCCATATCCTGCTCATTGGTCTGCCTCATTATCCTGGGCAGTGCTGCCCTCGTGGGAGCCTTTGGCGTCTGCCAGCGCCAAATCAGCGCCATTCTGATCACAGGTGTGATGTATTTACTCGCGGGTAAGTGTCAGCCCGAATCTCCAGTTGAGAAGTACCATCCTTAACCAATATAAACAATCAACAGCTCTGTTTGCCCTTTTTACGCTGATGATCATCCACTTCAAGCGGCAGCAGGGACGTCCCATGCTGGACAGCGACTACGATGGAACCGTGGACGGGATAGTGGCGCGACCAGGAGGCGTGGCCATCATGGCTAAGCCCTTGCTGGGAGCCCGCATCTTCCTCACCTCGTGGAGCCTCGACTTGGGCTGGGGCGGGGTGGTGCTGTGCGCCATCACCTCGGTGCTATGGATCCTCCTGTCCAAGATCATGCGCTACAACCCCTTCTCGGCGCTCATGATTTAGCTAAACGCCTTGCCGCTCGGCGTCTACGGTGCCAGCTACGGAAGTCTGGGCAGCTGCGAGAGCTACGGCAGCTACGGGAGCACCCACACCCACAGCGGCACCAGTAGTGGCGGCAGCTCCAGCTTCCTCCTGGCAGCGGTCTCGTCGACGCGGCAAGCGGAGCACCGGGGCAAGGGCAAGTACATCCTGTAGGCATCGCCCTGCCCCCTCCTCACTTTCAAACTAACCGGATTTTCGCCCTTACTCAACTTATTTGGGATATGCTTTCGAGGGTATTAAACTTGTAATATTTGTTTGAATTTGTTGACTTCTTGAAGGTTAAGAACCGGTTCGAAATCATTATGTTCCTTACGAATTTATGAAAATTATTTAAAGTCCTTTAATCCAGCGGTCGGCACACACATCCGTTGACATTTTGTTTTATATTTGTGTGAGTAATTTGCACTGGGCAGCTTATCGATGTGTGTATGCAGACCGCTGTTCTACAGTGTTCTTGAGCGAGCAGCGGCTGGGCAGAAAAACCCCTATGCTCACTAAAGAGGACGCTGCCGACCGCTGCTTTAATCCCAAAATATTATGTTAAAGTTTAAAACCCCTCGAAAGTACATCCCTTTATACCCCATATAAGTTAGCTATGTTGGAAATGTACCAAACTAAAAAACTCAATTGCCTTGTTCTTTATATATACACACACAACTTATACAATTAAAACATATACTTATTCTTATTCTTATTGTACTGTGAACTTAACTTAGCCCAATTGTAAATTCAATTTACACTCTCTCTTTACAAGTAAACCCTTTTGTATACATTCGATTTGACTCTAATTCTACACGACTATAATTCTAAACACCCCACTAATCCTAGCTAAAATGTGAGACATTTATTTACATTTACACGAGGCGAGCGAAATGGGAACCAGAATTTCCCCCGAGGCTTTGGCTTTAAAGTGCTTTCTAGTAACAGTTCGCTTGCATAGCGTTAATCCAGCCCAAAATAGTTAAGTGGGTGTGACGGTTGCTTAAAATTAGACAAACTAACTGGAGAAATGGACGATTGTAGCTGGTAGAAAATAAAGTTATGCAAACTGCTTGCGATACTCAAAAGAAATCATATTGCTTGGTTACAAAGAAATCATGGGATGAATCTGCTAAAGCTTAGTTGTCCCGATTCATCATCCAGTTGGTTTAGTAGAATTTTAGGGCTTGTCATGACAGCATAATGAATTGTAGAACTTGACGAGTGCTTCTAGGGCTCCAGGGGTACATATTGTAATGAGATCATTTAGTGCTTTAGAACAAATGGTTTACAAAACGTATTGTACTGTATAGAAGCCACCACAAACCAAACAAAATGCTAAATGTATGAAAATGTATTTTTATGCAAACGCTTTGCCTTAAAACAAACCAAACAAGCAACAAAAACAAGAATAAATTATTTAAATACAAGAAGATAATTTCTTTTAAAAAGTTTACAAAAAGGTGTTTTTTTTCTGGGTGATATTAAAAATACCATTTTTTCAGGTGACATTCAAATTGAAATGGCTTTTGTGTAAAAACCAGGGACCGTAATCATTATAAGTGAAACAAGAGGGAACGTTATAGTCGGATGCCCCGACTATCAGATACCCGTTACTCAGGTAAAGGGAGTGCGAGGGAGATGGAGATAGAGATAGAAAACGTTGATCACGCATAACTTTTTAACGAATGGTCCGATTTGAAAAATTTCTTCTACATTTCGATAGGTATTGATAAACACAATAAAACTGCATTTTTACTTTTCCAAAATATTAAAATTTTTAAAATCGTATATAAGCGATTGTGGGCGTTAGAGGGGGCGTGGCACCATTTTGAAACAAACTTGCGCTGCGTAGGAACTCCTAAAATCTGCATGCAAAATGCCAATCTTCTAGCTTTTATAGTTTCTTAGATCTCAGCGTTCATACAGACAGACAGACGGACAGACGGACAGACGGACAGACAGACGGACAGACGGACAGACGGACATGGCTAGATCGACTCGGCTAGTGATCCTGATCAAGAATATATATACTTTATGGGGTCGGAAACGCTTCCTTCTCCCTGTTACATACTTTTGCACGAATACAATATACCCTTTTACTCTACGAGTAACGGGTATAAAAATAAAAATCTCCATTTAATGATTATTTTGTAAGCGAAAAAAATATCGCTCAGAAATAATGATTATTATGTAAGCGATATTATTTCGCTTAAAAATATCACTCAAAGTGCGATTACAGCCGTTCTGTACGGAATTTTACAAACTTTTAAATTTCTGCTTGTAGGTAGAACCACGGAGCACACATCGAGTTAATAAAAGAAGGTTATTTCTTTGTGTAAACTTTGTAAAACGCGGTTTTTAGTTGACAAGCGGTATGCTTAATTACAAAAAGTTATATCAACCTTAGAACTTTATGTCATTTATTTATTAGTAAAACGACTTAACAAGATGTTATGAACTATTCCACTTAGATCCAACCCGACATGTGGGCTGGGTGTTAGTGTGTTGGTCCACCGAGCTGTAAGCACGAGTTCGATTCCCACAGAAAGTGTTTTTATACAAAAAGATTTTTTTGTTTTTTTAAGCGGTTTATACAAAGAAAATTTATTTTTTTCTTAACGGAATTTGTGCTCCGTGGTTCTACCTACAAGAGCACATTTAAATCTTTGTAAAATTCCGCGTAGGACGGATGCAATCCCACTTTGAGTGACATTTTTGAGCGAAATATATCGCTCACAAAATAATCATTATTTCTGAGCGATATTTTTTTCGCTTACAAAATAATCATTAAATGGAGATTTTTATTTTTTACTCAAAAAAAATAATCATTATTTTCGGTCCCTGGTAAAAACCAATGAGTTCTATAAATAGCCGGTGGACAGACATTTATGAAATTTCGTTTAGCCCTCAATTCTGTAAAAATTGTATTGCGAATTTCTGTCGGCCGGAAGGTTCATTAACATTTGCAGAGCTGCTGTGGAAACAAATTAAGCAAACATGCAAATGAACTCGCAAAAAAATTGGCGAGAAAACGCGACACTTTCGCGTTTGCGGGTGAAAGAGAGAACGAGGATCATTAGCAAAGATAAGAAAAACACAGCTGGTAAGAGGAAAATGCAGAGGAAAAACATCAAGTGTGTTTTGTTTTCGCGCGCTTAAACAATTACAAAATTCACACATTGCTTCGGCGGCCCAGCAACAAATTGCGATTACAAAACAACGCAAAAAGGTTCATTCACCTGCGTGTGCGTTGTGTCTGTTTCGCGCTTTTACGTGTTTATGCGTGGTCAGAAACTGCGAATTCGTGTATTCTTCTCAATTTATAACTTAAAGAAATAGGAACTAAGTTCTTTATAGGAAAACATTCAACAGGATGGAACATTTTACATGAAGTTAATATTTTCCTTTTATTCAAGGCTAAGAATTTCAAATACGCAGTACAAATAGCCACTATTGTAATTGACCGTTCTGTAAACCAAATAGCCTTTGATTTAGCGACATTTTCGTTCGTTAATCTTCCTAGAATATTTTTCTACAAATACAAATTTTGTTGTAAGCAATAAGCTATTAAAAACGCGATCAAAACGAATGTCGCATAAACGCTTTGCAAAAAATATGTACGAGTGTGTGTGATTGCCCGCCATTCGCCCGCGCCAACAAACACAAACAGACGCACACATACGCCGACACCAACACCGGCACAACGCAATTGGCCATTTAGTTAGCGCAAATAACCACGGCACGTTTCGCATATTTATAGCGAAACAGAAATTGCGACAATTAATTAATGTTTAGCACAAACAACATAGCAGCCAAAGCAACGGCAACAACACAAAAAAACACGGCACAAAACGAAATTCGCAAATTCGCGTGTCGCTGTTTTGGCTGCGTGAGTGTGCGTGTGTGCCTGCATCGGCATTTAACTGTAAAAATTGGGCTTGAACTTACTTGTTCCTCGATTACGGGTATTGCTTTCGAAGCAATGGCAGTAGAACCAGTTGATTGTCGTTATAATTATCACTGTAACCAATGTAAAACCAATAAAATGCAAAAATTCGCCAATAAAAATTACAGATCCCGCGAAATGCTGAAAAAATAGCGACAATGTGACCAAACAGCGGGCGCTTCAATACGCCGTACTGCACGGCAAAAATACCGGAAAATATACTAGACAAATTTTGGAGCTGCCAACTCGACTGCCTCACAAGGTATTGAAAAAAGAGTGCTTACACTGCTTCGCAGTCAATTAATTTTTATGTGGAACTCAGGTAAAATTTAAGTTGATGTACAGTACCATGTAACACCCTTGGGACACCCTTGATAAATACAAGATCACCCATTGTATTTCTTCTAATATTATATTATTTATGATACAGTAAACAAACGACTTAAATTTTTCATTTTAGTAGTCATTTTAAACAACTTGAAGAAAAGTAATGTCATTTCATAGGCTTATTGGTGTTATTTTATTTGTTCTTTAAGTGAAAAATAAGAGTGAAGAAATAAATGGAAAAAATACTCTAATTACCTTATTACCAGGCTATTCCCTAAACTGTTAAATTGCTGTTGAAAATTCTACAGAAAATTTCAGCAATTAAGGGAACGACCAAAAATGATTCCTGTTTAATTTTCAAACAGCTGTTATTTGTTGAAAAGTTTTACGGAACTTAAAACATGTAAAATATTATTTATTATTGCTTGATACTGTCTAAAATTGCTACCAAGATAAAAAAAACCACAAATATGCTTTCTTAGTTGATTTTAAAATAAATAAGGCGTACTGGTGATACTAAAATGTTACAGAGTTGCCATGACTTTTAATAAAAAAGGTGACAACTCTGGCTTTTCAGCAATTCAACTAAATTTTCAACAGCCCCGAAGCTGTTGAATTGCTGAAATTTCTGAAAGTTGATTTTGTATGGAACAGCTGATTAACAGCTGACCAAAATTCAACAGTTTAGGGAATACCCTGTACATTTTTAAAAACTACGACGTCTTGTGTGAACGCTTACATCTATTTTTCCGCAGATGTGAGTTCTAGCGGCAGTCTGAAAATGGTATTAAGTCTCGATAGTCTTACGCATCCCAATCGTGAGTGCTAACGCATCACTATCTCTTTGGGCCATTCTCACTTTGAAATTCAAATTGGAACAGGAACGTTCGGTCCGCGCGTGCACGAACCGTTTATTCCGTTCGCTGTCAAGACTTTTCGTTTCGTAGTGGCTTTAATTGGCAAGCAATCAGACTGGAAGTGCAATACACAAACCAACGATTAAAGTTAATATCGAGGCCGAATTCCATTCAGAAGGGCAGAGTTCTGGGCGGTGGAACCACCCCCTTAAAAACTGTTAAATATTTATACACACCACCTACGGAACGCACGCACTCACATATTTTCCATTGCGAGTGGCGCCAACATATGTAAAGCAGCGATAAGAAAACAACCGAGAAAAGGAAAGCAGGGAAATTGCTGTAAGTGAAATGCATTGTGTCATCTGAATAATTTGAAGTTCTATTGATTTTCTGGATTTTGGGGGGCCACCTCCGAATGTTTTTGCCGCCTTCCCCGGTTTTTTTGTCGCCTTTTGTTTTGTGCCCGTGTTTCCGTGTGTGTTCGTGAGCCTTGATTTTTCCATTCAACTGGGTTTGCGTCTTATTTTCCTGTTTTCTTATCCCCCATCGAATTGTGGGTGGGGTGGGTGGTTGTACCGCTGTTGATTCACCTGTCGTGTGTTTTATTTTCGTTTTCAACTTCACGGGCAGCTGCGAAATCTCAGCTGCTCCGAGCAACAACAAAAACAAACAAAAAGTCAGCTTTCGTTGGTGCAATAACCGGTTTTCAAGCTTTATCGTACATATTTCGAAACTGTGCTAATAGCTGGTGTTGTTTTTCGTTTGGCACATTTTATCGCTTTGTTAGCCATATAATCATAGGCTAAGTAATATTAATGACTGTGGAAAATAGCGATAATTTTTAAAATGGGGAGCACTTGCTAATTTATTGGATTTCGCTGCCTTTGCCAGGAAGTTCATTTTGACGCAGTCGAAAAGTATGGCAAAAACTTTTCCACTTATAATGTCAGTCATTCATTTTTACCGTTTCGCCTGCCAACTTCAGTTGCATATGATGGCAGCTACCTCCTTCTCTTTCGCACTCACTCCTACTCGAGCACTGAGAGAAAAAAATTACAGATGTTTTGTGCAAATACTTTGGCTTAAAATCATTTTATTTGTAAAAAACATCGGAATTCTAACTTATTTTTATTTGTTTGCAATAATTTATTTTGCAATTTTAAATTTATAAAATCTAAAAATAGTTAAAAACTAGGATAAAAATTGTTAATCTACTTATTACTTATTTATTATTCTTATTCTGAACAGGGACCGAAAAGAAAATCATGCACCTAGAAGGTACCAAAAATTTTTTTTAAAAACACCACTATTTTTATTAGCCTTTGTAATCCCTAATGATTTTTATTTTTTGATTTTTATAATAAAACTCAAAAAATAACTATTATTTGTTGATTTTGATGTATAATTTTTATACCCGTTACTCGTAGAGTAAAAGGGTATAATAGATTCGTGCAAAAGTATGTAACAGCTAGAAGGAAGCGTTTCCGACCCCATAAAGTATATATATTCTTGATCAGGGGCACTAGCCGAGTCGATCTAGCCATGTCCGTCTGTCCGTCTGTCCGTCTGTCCGTCTGTATGAACGCTGAGATCTCAGAAACTACAAAAGCTAGAAGGTTGAGATTTTCCACACATATTCTTTGGCTTCCTACGCAGCGCAAGTTTATTTTAGCCGAGCGCCACGCCCCCTCTAACGCCCACAATCGCCCAGTAACGATTTTAAAATGGGTCCTGCGCCCACATCTTTAAAGATTTCCGAGAAGTATAAATGCATTTTTGTTGTGTATATTTATACCTATCGAAATGTAGAAGACATTTTTCAAATCGGACCATTCATTAAAAAGTTATACGCATTCAAAATATCTACATATATCTATCTCCCTCGCACTCCCTTTAGCTGAGTTACGATTATTAGTCGGGACACCAACCCGCGTTCGCACTTCCTTTAGCTGAGTGACGGGTATTAGATAGTCGGGACACCAACCCGACTATAGCGTTCTCTCTTGTTTTATGTATATTCCTGAATCCCTATATTCCATATTAAACGTTTCTCTCAGTGTAGCTAGCATAATTTTACTCTGAGCATTTTGGACGTGCAGCAGGCAATTTCTAGGGTCCTGAAACAAGCCGAAAGCACTCGCTCCAAGGATATCAGGCTCGTCAGGCCACAAAATCGATTCTCCACGAAGCCCAATACCTTGGAGAAAACCCGACACGTGATGGCGCCTGGCTGGAAATTACTGAAAAAGAGGAAAAAAGGGGCCACGGAATATAGGAATAGGATGGGTGGGATTGGGATTGGACATGCCAATGGGAACTTTCAACTCGTTCTGCCCTTTCTACAACTTCTTGCGCAAACTGCGGCAAAAATCAAACGGGGGCGAAATGTGCCGGATATAAGCTGTAAACCGAAAGGGGACAACTCGGTCAGATATTTTGGGGGACTAAGTTTAGAAGCCAGGGTCTAAATGCCGTAAACAAGAACTAGATAACGTATCTAAGATTATCTGAGCGTCGCTCTAATTTGGGGTGATTTCCAACTGGGAACGGGGATTACCTACCGCACTTCTGAAGCGATTGCAACAGTATGGTTACCATTTTTCAGTAGACCAGCCCCCATTTGTAAACAAATTGGTTTATAAGATAACTTCATTTTCTTTCTATCTGCAATTTTAAAGTGTAGGAAACTTTAAACGCATATGTTAGGACTAGAAATGGAAATTATAGAAAAATAACATTTATGTTAAGGGGATCATTTTTTTACCTTATGATACATACTAGAATTTTGAAATACGTTTTATTAAATGCGAAATATTTGTTTAAGTTATCAAGATCAGGATAGAACTCAACTAAAAAACATCCCTAAAAGCACAACGTCGATAAGCATGACTCATATTCATGGTGACTTAATTCCTAATGCTGGGGCTTACCAACAAATATGTATGTTACATGCAAAACCATTTTCTTAATCTTGTATTAAAGTACATTCACAGCTATAGACTTCCTCACACAAAGAAACATTTATCACCATTATTTACTTCTCCAAACCAAAAGACATCATCATTCATAGTATCACACATCATTGTCAAATTTTTATTTGAAAAACTTTTTACGATATACTCCACTCCAACTGGAGACCAAACTTTTGATTCTGCTTTAAATTATATGAGAAACTTCGGCACTTAAGCATACATATAAAAAAATTCCTTTTCCGCTGGCGCCCGAAGAAACCCCAGGAATTCAATCACTTTCGCTTGGCAACCAGAGAATTTTCACAACTCTTCTTGTAAGTAGTGGGGAATTTGGTGTTTTCGGTGGTGCAGAGAACTCCCCGAAACTAACTTTGAACTATGCATGCACATTGGGAAAATATTTTGTTTCTCCGTTTTATATTTTCCTGCCGGCTCCTTTTTATTTCGAGCAGCCGAGGAGCAGGCACACAGACTCCTGGCTGCCGTCTGGCTTTTTCCCGGGGGATGGGGTCGCATGAAGTTGTTCTGTCTGGACTCCATCCACTAACCGGCAACTGGCGGGTTTCCCAGCACTACTCCTTCTCCTTTCCAAAGTCCACCATCCTTTGTTGTCTCGGTTCTTCGGTGGAAACGGAGATGGCGAATGGCGCTGCCGATGGCTCTTTTATGACGCAGTTGGTCCGGGCTAGTTGAAGTTTGTTTGCTCGGCCGGGCCTGAAAAAGAGTTCATTCTTCTATAATGCATTAGCCAGCCACTGAAGAAGTTGTCTTTGTATAGAATTTCCCTGTTTGTTTAAAGCCAACCAGGGGCAATAAGTCAATAAGCTTTCCCCTCCATCCGAAACAAAAACCCACAAAAATCCCAGTTTATGCCTTTGATGAGAGGCATCCAATCGGCGGTAGACCAGCCACATAAAAATAAATAACATTTTGCCAATTTCCAATTAATCAGCAAAGTCAACGGCAGCAAAAGTTCATTGAATTTGCAGCTGTATCGGGTTTGGCGATTTCGGTAAATTGATTGGAATTAGAAGGGGTATATCTGGGGTCTAGGGTTTCTCTTCATGCACGCCCCGTTGCCAAAGATTAGTCAGCCGAGTGATATGACTAAGCGAACCACCGAAGCATTTGGCCACCGCACCAGACGGAATAAAATTCAAATTAAAACTAGAAATCGGAGAGGTGAGGGTGGTGGGTAGGTGCTGAGCTCTGACAGCCAATCGGTCACTTAACCCGTTGCAAGGTCTCGAAACAGTAAAAGCTCTTTTGAATAATATCTTTTTTTAATATTACATTTAATTCTTCTCTTTAAATGAATTAACTTTAAGCGAATATGGATGGAAATATATTCTAAAATATTAAAACATATTATGACAGATACATACATATATAAAAATTATAGATTTAATTTAGAATTTATTTAGTAACATTTCCTAGATTATGAAATCCAATATATCATAAATAAGCTCCAACTATCAAATATTTATATATTTAAGAGCCTTTATATACTTGTAAAAGTTTATAGACATTGTGGTAGGTGGGAAATAAAATACTCTTTTATTAGATGAAGGAGTTCCACTTTCAAGACCTTCTACTGTACAGTGACAACCAAGGCACATGGCAAACCAAGCGAATGGAGCCCTGAAAAGTCCGTCATTGGACAGCCATTTGACACCAGAGACTGCAAGATTGTCTGAAGGTAGCTTGAGGTGGGGTAAAGACGACATGGGTGGACAGGAGCTGTGGGCGGGGTATCGGGGATATCGGGGTATCAGGGGTATCAGGGGTATCGGGGGTATCGGGGCGGACAAAGTGGCTCGTTGGTTGCTCAATTGCTGCGGGGCAGTTGAGAAGTTGGTGTTTCTTTGTTTGCCACAGTTCTTTGGCCCGGGCCTTGACTTCGTTTGAATTGTCTTTGTTGCCATCAACGTTTAATTTAATATGTGAGTTGAGTGCCCGGTTCCTGCCCCAAAAAACAAGACCCCTCCCTTTATCCTACATCAACTGGTTACTGGCCTTCTAGATTTGCATAGACTCCACTTTTTTGTATGCCTGACAACGAGTCCTAACCCAAAGACCGAACCCAAAGACCAAACCCAAGCCAGACAGTCTTAGTTGAGGCTTCCCATTTAATTTATTCATGCAGGATTAGTCGTATATAAGTCCTACATAAATCGACGACAGCTGTCGCTACCTGGCTAGCATGTAAAGACTTTACTTCAATTTATGCAAATTATTTTGTGGGCTTGCCAAATGTGTGTGGGGAATCATCAGACGGTATTATATTTTCCGCCAGATGTTTGCAACATCCAAAGAAATCAATTAGTCGAATAAAACAGGAATTATATGGTATTAAAAGCAATAGAACTTAACTAAACTAAGGTAAAAAGGGTAGGTAAATACTATATAATTTCACTTAACCCAAAACAATGGATCTGATGGGCACTCCTTTGATATCGCTTTCCTAGGCCCAAATTCTCGCCTTGCTCCACTTTTGGTTTATTGCATTCGGCTTGTGGCAAGTTCTTGAAATATAGTGTTTTCGTGGCTAAAAACCGGGCCAAGTAGCGCGACCCCAAAAGTGGAAAAGCAAGGGAAAACATGCAAGCGGAAATGCAGTGGGGAAAACTACTGGGTGGATTGGGGTGGGTCTTAAGTGAATCCCCATTCGGGTCCTGGCATTGCTGTAAAGTGCACATAAAACAAAGGATGTTTCGCAACTTTTGACACACATCCAACAACAACCCCCAAAAGGGCTCTTAACTTTCCATTTCATCGCGCTCTGTCAATTGAATAGAACCGAGATGCAGTTGCAACACTAGATGGGGTGATTTTGAACTGAATCCGAGGAAAGAGCCCATTAATGCAAATTGTTGCAACAGGAAATGAGGCGTACCACGCAGAGCCGGAATGCTGAACACGCCAATTAGGTGGCAATTTATAAGAAATGTTTCGGGAACCGGGAAGAGGAGACCCCTTGTTTGCCCACATATCACGTCATGCAAACGTCGCCATTTCGAGGTGAAGGAACTCCTTTGTGATTGTTTTCGTGCGGTTTACGTTATGTAAAAAATTGTAATTGCCAGATTTTAATGAAGCCCCAGGTTGTGTTCGTTGGCTCAATGGGTTTTTTTCTGCCCTGGGGGGCGGGTCTAATGCATTATTTATGCAGCTGACAGCTTGTCCAATGAGTCAACACCTGTTTAAATACTGGGGGAAGGTTTAAGCTAAGAGCTTTTCAGGTTCTTGTCCAGATCCATGAAATTCGGACTTGGGGACCGAGGTCCACCCAACATCATGCATTTAAAATGCATGTACCTATTCCTTAATGCATTTGCTACTTAATGTTTTATTTTCATACCGCCTGATAAGCCTGGTCGGGAATGGAAAAATATTGCAAACGAGGAAATGAAAATTAAGCGTGTATTTCATTTTTTCCAAGATTGCCTTGAATGCGGTTGGATCGGCACTTGACTCGGGTCTGCGGTCTATGGAACCGGTTTTATTCCTATACTTTATATGTTTAAATCATAATAATACCTGTGTTATTATGTATCAAAAAGATATAATGTTATTTCTACTGATAATTAATAGCTAAAAACGAGGAGTTTCGCGCCAAAGATAAGATATATGGGTTCCCTAAGATATTTGAAATATTTGGCAGCTCACAAACTAGCAAACAGCTCTGTTTTATCTTCAGCTTAACGGCCTTCAACTTTCTTTCGAAGAAAACACGCAACGAATGCAACAATAAATTTTCACTTTCGTGTCTCCGCTTTTATAGCTTCTTGTTGTTTGTTGTCTGGCCCAAACAGAAACACACAAAAACGACTTTGAGCAGCTGCACTTGACTTGTGCTAAGTCTTTGGAGTCTTTGGCTTTGGCCCACCAACTGCACCTTGAGATTCCATTCCGCAGCATTCTATACAGCACATAATCTGCAGACAACTTGTTGTCACTTGGTCGTCGCTTTCAAAATGTTTCAAGTGCATTCAAAGTCACGGGTGTGTTTGCATTTGGTTGGAAGAGCTCAGACCCCCAAGAAGTCTTGTTTACTCTGGGCTTTGGCACGGCTCCCTCTTAAATCCACACAGAATTTAATATGCAGAAGAGCTCAGAAAACCCCACATCTAATTAACCCAGTGGGTAAACAGAAATTCAGCACATCTGATTAACTCAGAAAAAATAGGCGATTTTGAAGTCTGCGGGAAATGCATTCTGAAGTCGCGCTAAATAAATCTTTCAAGCGAAAAATGCTCTCAGACATTCTGTTTTGATGGGTGGCAGCTATAAATACAGGCAAAACACAACTATTTATAGTTGGAGGAAGCCCGAATGGTTTATTTTGGTTTTCGAGCATAAACAAAGTTCGAAAGACTCACGAGATCTGTGCCACATCCGATAATATTTACTCAGTTGCCTTTATAGACTGTACTATACTATACAGACCCGCCCAGATCTTGCACAATGATCTCACAATACCGCGTTACGATTGCCACATTTCCACGCTTGATTAGTTTCGGGTGTTGAAAATTTCGATGGACCCGAAATCCCATCGAAAAGTGTCGATTGATTGGGGCACACGCCTCACGAATTGTTGGTTGATTTTGGGGGAGTGTCTTTAATGTCACGAATCATGAATCATTTGAGTATTACAGATTGTAATGCATATTGCATTCCATAGCAACTAAAGATAAATACAAAGTAATCATATTTGAGATACATTTTAGTTAAATTTTTAAATTTTAATTTAATAATTAATGTGCACCCAAAAAAAAAAGATATGTATCGTTGGTCAATTTTACCTTACTTAAGATCAATTTTAATTTAGCCTGGCTTCAGGTAAATTTGACCTGGTCGGAAAGGATACTTCATATAAAAACGACCTGGGTTTTGCATGACCTGAAATTTACATGGCCATATCGGTTTTACGGTGACATGTTTTTTTTTGTGTGTGTATTATTACAACTTAAAAAGTTAATATATTATAGTTTATAAGGAGTTCGGAAACCTCTTTTTTAATTCCTATTAAACGATAATATATAATATATAAGATAATATATTTTAGTATATATAGTTTTAAAACCACTTTTGAAATTTCTATGAATCGAAGTCTTTAGATTATAATGGAAATTTTTTAAGAAACATCCCTTATGGGTTTATTTAATTTAGCTCTCTAAACAACCCGATAATCTTCCCAGCACGTGCTGTCAGGTGGACAATAGCCAGATCTTAAATATTATGTGATCACCCACAATGGCTTCCCATCAGCGGAACAAGCTCGGCGAATTGAGAAGCCAGCAAGTCACAGTCAGATGCCCTTTGTGTGTCAAGTGATGATGATCTTGATGAGGACTCTGATTGACGTGGATGGCAGAAAGAAATTGGAGCAGTGGCAGATGAGAACTACAAAACGCTTGCGGCTGGGCTTGAATGTTGGCTCTTGTGGTGCAGTTGTAATCTCTTTGGCTGCACATTTAATCGCAAATTGCACATTGTTGCGGCCAAATTGAATTGTTTTGCGGCGGTGTGGAGGTGGGCATTTCAATCATCCGGATTGATTGCCCTGGACCGGCATCGAGTGCACACAGCTGGCTGCGCCTCAGTGCGCCCACAGAAAGATATACCTACATATAACCACACATCTGCACTCTCCACCCCATTCGCCCATCGAACGACTTTGTCTCGCGGCTCTGACTTTTCAATTCATTTGATTTGTATCTTGGAAAAGTGGATATGGTAATGGGAAATCTCCTCCCCTTCTTTACTTGTCGGTTATTTGGGTTAATTTGATTTTAATGCCTTGCCACAAGGAATGCGGGTGTGGTGGCAATCAGATCAGCGCCCAGCAATTGCCAAGAAATCGCGCATCTTGTGGCCATCAGATTTCAATTGAATTACATTACTCGCTGATTGATTCGTGAGTAAAGTCCAAGTTCAGCGAAACTCGATCAAGAGTCCGAATGGTTCAAGGTTTGAGTGATTTTCGCGTGCCATTAACTGCGTTTTATGAGAAGCGCGTAGAAAGGCGTTCCCTCCCACACGGTAAATCGACATAGTTTTCAATAGACCACTCATTTGTCACTTGAAGTACTCAGGCCATAAATTAAAGTGCTTGATTGTGTGTTTTATTTTTATTTGTATATTTTTCGAGCATTTGTGAAATTTTCAGCAGCAACAACTAGCCTTCTTTAATAATTGCCCCCGCCAACGAAACTACTTTCAGTACTTTCTGTTCTTGTTTATCATTTATATAAATCGTTTTGTGTACAGCGTCTAAGGAAAAGCATCTTCACAATAATTGCTGTTGAAGATTAGCATTTATTGTGTTTGCAAACCATTGTAATCTCGCTGGGAAGAATATGAATGTGGTTGTGCATTGTCTACGAGAATGGATCAGGTAGTTGGATGCTCTAATACGGCAATTAAAAGTCGTCTGCGTTTTGCGGCATTGAGTTAGATAATTTTATAGCAGACCTTGAAGTGGGTCTTACCAGCATACATACCTCTGTTTTTTCACCCTTATATGATATCATCTTTCCGTTGAAACAGAACTCGAAGCTGTCAGAATTTGAAAACCAACATCTGCTGGAGTTGCAGGTCTCCCCGGGCAGTTGGTTTGTCCATTCATTAATCATAAGCACATCAGTGATGCCAAATCCTCATTCAAAGCGCAGAACTAATCAAAGCTTAACTCTGGAAAGGGTTTTTGTGGATAAGAATATTTCCTATTTATTTTGGAAACTCTAGTATTAACTTTTAATACAGTTCTGTAAGTCTAATTTTCATATCTCAAAGAAAACCTTATAGATAAATTTAAGGAGGTACGAGTTATGGAAGTTTAACTGTATTCATAAGTTAAGAAGGTTTGAAAATCTCAACTGATCTTAACTATAAAACATTTGGTTTTCTAATAACGATCAAAAATGGATTTGAGTACACCTTAACGTTTCTAAATTTTGAGTTCAAAGGGTCAAATTGGCATCACTGGTTCAACTCACATGCGGAGAGCCCTGCTAAAAGCCATGTCATCCGAAGCCCGAAGGAAGGATGGGATTTCTGTGTCTCGTGCATTCGCAATGAGTTGACTGAAAGCCCATTCAGGGTTGGAATCCTCCTCCCCTCACATCCTGGAGTTTTGTGTGGCCAGGGGAAGGATGCTCTGCCTGCGGCAACTAAAAAGAACATCCCGTCATTAGGAGCAGGCGGTTTATGGGGGGAATAATGTCAGTTATGCGGCTGCCACTGCAATTTGCTCGTAATTCTTTTCGTGTTTGCTCTGCCCCATTTAATTGCATAATTTATTGATAATTAAATGAAGCTCTAAATTAAACTCTCTTTTTGCAGGGTGGAGGCGTTTGGAGTGACTCAGCTCCCACAACAATTGCCGCTGATGAGGTGAACGAACTGGTCAGCTGCGCAGCATCCATCTCTGGCAATTAAGACGACCCTAATTGGAGGGAGGAAGGAGCATCATCTGGGCCCAAGATGCCGTCGCTGCGCCAGAAGGTCACCACTTACTTCCGCCAGTTGAGCTTCATCGCGGAGCCTCGCGAGGGTCGCCGGCGGGCCAGCGAGCACGAGGATGAGGATGGCAGCTTCATTACCAAGTATCTGGAGGGGTGAGTAAATGGAAGCAGCCTGCAGGTGGAGAACAGTACACACAAAAAAAATGATGTTACCGTAAAATCGATATGGCCATGTAAATTTCAGATCATGCAAAACCCATATCGTTTTTACATGAAATACCCTTATCGACCAGGTCAAATTAACCTGGCCTCATATCAAATTAAAATTGATCTTAAATAATGTAAAATCGATCTACGATTAAGTAGCAGCCTGCAGTTGGAGAACAGTACACACAAAAAAAATGATGTTACCGTAAAATCGATATGGCCATGTAAATTTGAGATCATGCAAAACCCATGTAGTTTTTACATGAAATACCCTTATCGATCAGGTCAAATTTACCTGGCCTCATATCAAATTAAAATTGATCTTAAATAATGTAAAATCGATCTACGATTAAGTAGCAGCCTGCAGTTGGAGAACAGTACACACAAAAAAAGCATGTCACCGTAAAATCGATATGGCCATGTAAATTTCAGATCATGCAAAAGCCATATCGTTTTTGCATAAAATACCCTTATCGACCAGGTCAAATTTACCTGGCCTCGTATCAAATTGATCTTAAATAATGTAAAATCGATCTACGATTCATATTGATTTTTTTTGATTGTAGTTAACCCGTCTTCCCTAATCCACAGCCGCATGCAGCGACAGTTTGTGGAGGGCCCGGAGATCTACAATGGCCAGAATCCCACAGACATGCCCGTGCTCAAGCTGAACGCCTACGAGGCTGGAACCTGCACCATAACCGCCGCCTGCACTGGACCGGATGAGGGTCTCACCGGCATCAAGCGCTCCAAGCTGCACCTAAGCACCAGCTTTGCGGACGACATAGACTTTATAGACACGCAGCAGGAGAACGATGATTGCTATGGGGTCAGGAAGAGCACTCCACCAGTGCAGTCGGCCACACAGAACTCCACGCGATTGGCCAGCAAGTTTGGACGCCCGCCGGCGGGATCCCGGAGGCAGAGCAGCACGGAGCAGCCCTCCGGATCCGCTCCAGCTTCGGGGATGCGTTCCCGCAAGAATTCCAAGAGCAGCATAGCCAATCTGGCGGCGGCCACTACGGGTGGCGAAAAAGCCAGCAGCGATCAGAACAACAAGAACCTGTTGAACGCAAAGACTGAGGCCTCCGTCGATGGAGATCGCGAGCGGCTGCTCCGCGAGGCGGTGAGCAACCAGGGGGGATCTTCTCCAGCTGCTATCATCGCGGGCGTGGAGAACTGGCGCATGGAGTGCGACTTCGCCTACGGCATTTCAGTCTCCCTCTACGAAACGAACATGCTGACCAAAGAGCCCATGGGCAATCCAATCGCCGATTGCTACGGGATGGTGGTGCGCGGCGATTCGGCGGCCATGGCCATGGCAGATGGCGTCAACTGGGGCGATGGAGCGCGTCTGGCCGCCCGCTCGGCTGTCCACGGTTGCCTGGACTATCTGGATCGAGCTGTGTTTGGTCAGGCAATGGAATGTAGGGCCACCACCACGCAGGAGGTCTTTGTGAGTCTGCTAAGGAGCCTTTGGGAGGGACACGGCTGCATTTTGGAGGTGGGCGGAGCCCTGTCCACGCTGACCATTGCCGTGGTGCTGCCGCTGGACGGAGCGCCGGGCAAGTATGTCGTCTGCTCGTGCAACGTGGGCGATTCGCTGGGCTATGTGTACTCGAAGAAGCACGGAGTAAGGGAACTCACACAGGCCTCCCACGACATCAGCTCCATGCGGGACATGCGCGACGCCCTGGGCGCCTTGGGACCGGCGGATGGCAACAAGCCGGAGCTGAGCAACCTCACCTTCTCGATGAGCTGCCTGGAGAGCGGCGACATTGTGTTCCTCACCTCGGACGGGATTAGCGATAATTTCGATCCCGTGGTGGGCAAATTTGCCGAGGCTTGGACGCCGGATGTGAAACTGCAGGCGGCGGGGCAGGGAAAACTAGCTAGCTTGGCACCCAAGCGGCAGAACAAGAGTGCCTCCGCCATCTATGCCCGTCTGCATCCTTCGACGCCGCCCACGCGACCTGCCCGTCAGCAGTCCAAGGCGAGCAGTCCGCCGAGCAATGCGCCCAGTAGGCCGAAGTATATGCGTTCGCAGACGCTCATTGAACCGCGCCAGGGATTGGTATCGCCTCCACCGCCTGCTATAACCCTTCAGCGCATTCCAAAGTCCATCTCTGGACTACCGCTGGTCACTGGGCCCCAACGGCATGCTCTCACCCTGTACCGCCTGGAGGATCTGCTCAGCTACGGCATAAACGGAACCTTCTCGCCCTGCGTTTCGGCCCGCCGACTGTGCCACTTGCTCATCGATTTCGTAAGGATGATCACGTCCGCCAGGCGAAAGACCCTGGAGCAGAGGGAACTCTTCTATAAGCTGTCCACGGGTCCCGATGGCGCCAAGCGGGAGGTGCAACTGAATCGCATGCAGCATCGGGCGGCCAGGAAGCGCGTTGTGGACAGCAGTGCCTTTGTGGCACTGCCCGGAAAACTGGATCATGCCACTGTGATGGCCTACACGGTGGGCGGGGGAGAGGATCACCATAATGGAAACGATGCCGGCGATACCGGAGGAGGAGGAGCCCTTTCGCCCGTCCTGCAATCCAAGGAGTTCAAGGAGACGAATTTCTAAAGTTGCGGAAACGCCAGACTGCAGACTAAGCTTTTTATACATTTCTCTCACTCACATATTGGGTAGTTCTATCTTAAATGTACGAAACAGTTGTCTTCGGGGTCTGTAATAAATTTTCAGTTCATGTTTTGGTTATTTTCTTCACATAGTTACGCAGCAAGTGCCAATTTGTGTTATTTCAAAGAAAATAGATCGTAGAATACCTAATCATATTGTTAGATATCCGCCAAATACATTATTTAGTTATCTATCCAAGGAATAATAGCATTAATTGTTTCTATTCGTTCACTTATTTTATAATTACAAATAATTTATATCAGGCAAACCAATATTGAAAAAATACCTTGTTAATAATTTAAGACCCTAAAGAAAATCGTTAATATATTTGACCAAGAAATACCCAAACACACATATATATTTACATAAATATCCATAAATACGTAGTGATATATCTCACATATATCCCTTATATTCATAAAGCTTTCGTCTAAGTTTGTTGATTTTAATTCCGTATTCTCATTTATCAGCCATAGTTTTTTAGCCATTTTTTTGTAAACTGCAAACGACAGAAATGCCTCAAATGTTTTAAACTACCAAAAAAAGAAAAGAATAAGAACACACAAATGTACATCGTATTTTTACACTCCCATTCGTAATTCAATGTAAATTCCACCTTTACGCCAGCAGCTACAATGTGAATTTAATACATTTAATAACAGCTGTCCCACACAATTTTAAATTATATAAGCGTAAAAACTTGGTAACGCACAGCTTAAGTTGCTAATTGGACTGTGTCAAGCGGGCCTCAGCAATAAACAATTGAATAAACGCATTGGAAAATTGCGCTTTTACAAACACCATAAGAAAGTTGTTTTATTTGAATGAAACCATCTACTAAATATGCTTTTTATTATCTCTGTAAAACCATCTCGAAACTGCAGGTCAAAATTTAATCAAGTCTTCAAACGTTATAACATACTCGTAATTGCACAGAAATGTAATACAAAATTTGTCAGTTCCTTGTTAGGGTTGAAAAAGCACAAACGCAGGATAGCGGTTCTGCGCAATAAATCCGTAAAAGATTCATGCACATAAGAATATATAATCTCAGCGAATAGCTATAGTTCTTATAATTTAATTTCTCAGCTGTTGCGCATGCGCAGGAGCAGTTTGGCAATAGCCTGAGCCTGCGGGGGTGAGCCATCCTTAATTTGTTTGTACAGGATTTCCACACTGCGCAACGTTTGGGGCTGCAAGAGACAAACTTATAATTCGATGGCAATGGTAGTAAAACAAATTCAACATACTAATATCTTTACATCCAATTGTGATTGGGCCTTATTGGCCAGAAGCCATAGATTCACCGCCAATTGAGCGATAGTTTCCCTCTCCAAGTCAGCATATCTCACGATCCTCAGAAAAAGTTCCAGGGCTAACTCAGCTTGCGATCGTTGCTGTTGGGCAACTCCCAATGATTTCAGCTGCAGCAGAATGGCATCGACAACCTGAGCACACAAGTTATTAACCTCCTGCAAGAACTTAGGATCGTGCCCATACAAATCGTCATTGGACACCACTGTAATGGAAAATGGAATTTAGATATATTTTACATATGTATATAGAACATTATACTATTTTTTTATAAATATTAAAAATGGCGTTTTGCAGAAAACCGCGAATGAAATATTTTTTTTTTAAGTTTGGACTATATTATGCACTGGAACTAAAAGCTTGGCAAAAATAATAATTTTTGGGGTTTTTTTTTACCACACGTAATTTAAAATTATAAATGAATTAAACAAAAAAATAGCATCGCCATATATTCGCTTCTGTCAAAAGGATTTTTTTAAACTTTTTTAAGAATCCGTTTTAAATAATGTGAAACTGTCATAAAATTTAGATATCGTTTTGAGACCCTGAAGAAAATCTCGATACGTTTCACAAAGAATCACTCATATACATAGTTCATAATAATAATATAATCCTACCTCCTTTAATATGATAAGGAAACTTTTCCAGGCTCTGCACATAGAGCATGTCGAGGGAATGCAGATAGATGATACTCGGTGCCGTGCTGTCCGCTTTGAATTCATGTCTGCCCAGCACCTCCAGCAGCAGGCGAAGGAAGTACAGGACTCCCTGTTCCGGGCTATCCGGCACCACGATCAATGTGGCCAACATATTGCACATGTAGGAGACCAGAAAGCGCTCTAAGCTTCTTGGCTTTCCATCAAAGTCCACGGTGGCTGCGGGCAGCTCATTAACCAACTGCAATGCGGCCTCGAAGCAAGCATCCGCTGTTGTTAAACAAAAATATTAATTTAAAATAGTCAGCTTATCTCATCTTATACTAACCTTGCCCCAGGCACAGATGCTGCAAAGCCAGTTGACCGCAGAGCAGATACAAATTCATTTGCTGCTGGATGGCTCCAATGCTGGGAATAGTAATGAAGCAGTAGGCGATACAGGCCTTCACGAATCCCGTTGACTTGGAACGATTTCGCGTGGCCAATTTGCAGGCCGCATGAACCAGAGTCACATAGACCGCATCTAGGTTGCTAAACGTACCCCTGGCCTCCACATAGAAGCTCAGTTGCTGCTCCAAGTCGCGTCCAAAGTGAACTTTATGAATGAAGACATTGATGAGCTGGGAAATCTGGCGGCGCTCATCCTCCACGGACAGAGCACTGGCAAAAATAGGGTTTTAGTTATTTTAAAGTATATTATTTGTATACCATTTAAGTACTCACTTGACAGAATCGTTCAAAATCTTTCCGAGATACATCAAGGCGTTGGTGACGACAGCGTCGCAAGTATATTCCTCGCTATTCTGTTTGTAAAAATTGAGAATGTTCTTGCACACTTCAACACGCACCGACTCCTTTTGAAAGAGATCCAAATAGGGCAGGAAATTAGGTTGTATCAGTAGCAGCTCAATGCTGCGATAGTTTTGCATTATCCTGGTTAAAATGTTTTGCAATTGGGAGTAGTGTTTTTCATAGGCTTTGCCCAGACACATCCGTGCATTCAGTTCGCCCAGCAGTCGGTTGACCTCATGGACCTAATAAAAATTATAAAATATTAAAGGCTCAAACTAAAACACTTCCTTGAACTCACCGTAAAATACTGGGATACAAAGACGGCCCAAGTCTCCACACAGTTTATGTACTCATTGGGATCCGTCAGCTTATTAATTGTTTCGAAAGCCGCTTTTAGGAAGGAGACCCGCTGCTCCTGCAGAGGAGCGCAGCTACTCACGCAACTCCCCAGTGAGCGGAGCAACTGGGACTTGGAGATTCCGGGTGTTTCAGAAGCATTTATCAGCTCAATGAATTCCAATGCATTTGTGGCAATGAACTCGGACTTAAAGGAACACAGAATGGACATCAGAATCGCACCGCTGGGAATGAATTTAGTATGAGTTATTACTGTTGGGTTTTATAAAAACATTACTCACTTATTCTTCAGCTGCTTGCACTCATTTAGCATGTCCTGCGTGTGGAGCTCGCATTTGTGAACCAGGCAAAGCAGCATATAGTCAAAGGCTGGGGCATATAGCTGTAGGTAGGAGCTAGAGGTGACGATCTCTGGATGCAGGTTGAAGCGGGCCACAAAGCGAAATATCTTTAGACAAATATTTTATTATTACAGGTAGTCTGTTTAATGTTCCTCGCACTCACCTGCGGATAAATTACAAACAGATCACTAAAGTTCTCCCTGATGTACGTTTTACTGGGCGTCAGGGTCACGCCCATCCGCACCAAGTAGCAGCGAGCATAGCTGGAGACCAAGGGATCGGCTATGCCCCTCAATTGATGGGTAAGCCGCTGCAATATTCGCTCGTACTCCTCGCGAGAGGATGACAGGAACTCATAGCACCGGAATATAGACAACTCCAAGTAAAGACGCGGCAGCAACTCCCGAATAGAGGCGATCTTGTAGAACCAATTCTGGCACGTATCCCGGGCAGCCTCCCGTTCCCGCTCCAGTGTGCTCGCCGAAGCTGCGGGATCTCCCGAGGCCTTGGCCCGCAATCGATCGTATACCAACTTGCCGAAAACATCCAGAATGTCCGTGATGAGCACATACTGGCTGGGATAGAACTGCAGCACCGTGGTGTCCGCCAGCATCTTGGCACACTGAATGGCTATCTTCAGCGCCTTCACCCGCTGATCGTTGTGCCAGGACTGGATGAGCTCCTGCTTGAGCTGCTCGAACCGCTGGATGTACTCCTGCTGCGTGAGATCCATCATGTGGCGCATGCTGCCATCGTCGAAGTGATCCAGCTGCTCCAGGCGGTACTTTGTCTTGTCGGCCACCACGGTCTGCGCTTTGACTAAGATAGGAATCAAGATTTGGTAACAGTAAATACATAGAATCCTAGCCAGACTTACTGCTTTCGCTGCCGCCGTCCAAACTTCCGGATGCCACCAGGAAGCTGGTGGAGAGCGATAGCTTCTCGTTGGTGGTGAAGCGGTTGAGGATGCCCAGTCGCCGGCTGCTCCACTGCAGCGTGTTGTCCTCCGGCTCCGTTCGGTCCCGCTCGCGACGTTTCGTCTTGAGATCCTACGGATGCGAATCGCTTAGTCATGTTTCTTTCTAGGGCGCAAGTTTACCTACGAATTCGCTGGCAATTTGGCTGAGTGGATCGTTGAGCTCCTCATCCTGGCGGGCAAACTGCGACAGCGGATCGGTGCCCTCCAGAGCCCGGCTCAAGGGATTGCTGTCCACGACCTGGAGAAGATTGGTTCGTACTTAAATTTCAAGTACTTTAAAGATAGGGGCGTTGTATCTTTTACTCACCGTCACCGATTGCTGCTTCAGCGGATGATCCAGTGCGGCCTGGCCGGCCAGGCGGTTCTTTCGGACCTCGTAGCATCGCGGCACGCACACCCTGCAATCAGATGCAATATTTATCAATTCTTATTTGTTTATTTTCGGGGGAAAATAAATAAAGCACCATTCCAAGTTCGCCATAGCGTCGTGGTTGTTGTTGTCGGCATTCCTGACAGCTGTTCGCGGAGCATGGGCGTCGTCAGAAAATGAAGAGGGGGACGGCGGGAGGGAAACTGTACTTATTGGGGGGTAATTTTATAGAGCAGCTAAATTTTACTTATTTCGTGGTCAGAATTTGTTAAATAATATAAAACTTTTGAGCATATACAAGAATATTGTTTACATGTTTTAATTATCAAATTACTTTATTTTTATTATTGCGCAGAAACACTAAAATTTGTATTGATTTACATAAACAAGTGAAATAAATAAATGATAAATGCATAATGTAGTTATAATGGAATGGTTGCAATTAAGAAAGTGCTAAATTAAATATAATTAATTTAACATTTCCCCCAATCTCACATTTCAACCCCCCGAAACTGCGCCCTTGCACATGCGTTGCTTCCCTGCGAATGGCAACATGTAACAGCGGAACCACCGAGTGAATGGCAAATGCAGTTGACAAGCGACGCGTTTTATTTTTTGTGTTCACAATTGTCTTAAAAAGCGATTTAATTTTGGATTGCGAATTTAAAAATGTCCAAGTCAGCGCTGAAACACCTGAAGAGCACGTGCCGCGTGTGCGGAAAGTACGCGAGCAACAAGCGATCGCCGAAGATATTCGAGCGGACCAACACAAAGATGATCGACAACATTGAGACGCTCACAGGCCTTCGGGTAAATTTTCCACTGTCCAATTTCGGGGATTGTTATGATAATAGATCGATTTTCAGCTGGAGAACTACGGCTGCCTGCCGGATCAGATTTGCGAGTGCTGCAGCATGGAACTGGCCGCGGCCATCAAGCTGCGGGAGCGCTGCATTGCCGCCCAGCGGGAGCTGCTCGTCGGATTGACCGAGGAGCAGCTGCAGGGCATCTCTCCCTTCTATCGCGCCGCCGTCATGGGCGAGGAGCTGGCCCAGACGGTGAAGAAGTTCCAGCAGCCGGACGACGAGGAGGTCTATGCCACCTACCAGGAAATCGTGCTGGAGGAGCCCAAGGAGGAGATCGACGACACCAAGGTGGAGTACGAGAACGCCTACTTCGAGGTGGCCGAGGGCCATGCCGGCGGCGGCGAGGATGACGGAGCCTCGCTGATCGAGGAGGCCGAGTACGAGTCGATCATGGCCGAGGACGAGGAGCAGCAGCACTTGGAGCTGGACGAGGATACCGAGCTGATTGTGGGCGATGTCAACGATCAGTATGTCTACGATTCCGACGACGAGGTAGCCGTGCTGGACAACGTGCTGGACGATGAGTACGAGCACGAGAACATTGTGGTCAAGAAGTGCAGTCTGCCGCCGAAGCCCAAGCCGCGCACAGATGATCCGCGTCGTCGCGGCACCGGGGGAGTGTACATCTGCGAGCAGTGCGGCAACCACATCAAGGGTCGCATGGCCTTCGAGCTCCACTGTCGACGTCATCGCGGCGACAAGCAGTTTGGCTGCGAGTAAGTGCATCCGCTTTCCTTATTGAAGTATAGTCTGATTAAATGGTTTCCTTTGCAGGCTGTGCCAGTCGCGCTTCTGTACCACTTCCGAGCTGAAACGCCACATGCGCAAGCACACCGGAGAGCGTCCGTTTGCCTGCCAGTACTGCGGGCGATGCTTCACCGACTACACCACCCGGGTGAAGCACGAGCGCACCCACACCAACGAGCGCCCCTACGTCTGCGGCACCTGCGGCAAGGCCTTCACCACCGGCTACATCCTCAAGAACCACATGCTGATACATTCCGGCGAGCGGGCCTACAGGTGAGTTGGTGGGGCATTTTAGACAACTATACCCTAGGGAGAAACTGTGTTTCCGATTTTATTTGCTTTAAGAGGATCATACGAATAGTTATACGGATTCGAAAAAATTAACTCATTACATAAGGGCTTTTTATTATAAAAATCAGGGACCGTAAAAAATGATTATCGATGTATTTTGCTGTTTGTTTGCATCCTCTCCACCATCCTCTTGGAAAAGCCTTATGAGCAAACGAATTATACCAATCGGCTACTATTTTAATGATATTTATCCGCAATGATTTTTTACTTCTTGATTTTTATTCATTTTACTCCATTTTAATAATTATTTGTTGAGTTTTTTTCAATCGCTCAAAGAATAATTATAATTGTGAGCGAAAAAAATATAATGATTATTTTTTGAGCGTTATTTTTTCGCTCAAAATATCGCTCAAAGTGCAATATCTTCCATATATATAAAAAATGATGTTTTAAGCTTTTTCAAATCTAAAAATTGTTTTTTTTTGGGTTTGTCGAGGTTCACTTTGTAATGTTGCGTAAACATTTTCCAAAGAAACTTTTGAGAAAGAATATATTGTACTTTATAAAAATCAATAAATAATCATTAAATATTGATTTTTATTATATCACTTATAATGATTAGGGTCCCTGATAAAAATCTCTAAGCTCGAATAATGCAATATTCTTATTGTAAATTGTACACTGAGTTTTTAGTTTCAGTTTCATTTTAATACTTCTCCTTAAAAGAGTAATATTTATAGAAGTTGAATAAAAAATTCAATAAAAAAGTTTCTAAACAACAGTCTAAAAAATTAGCTTTAAGAACCATTCCCCAGACTAACTGATAATGTCAATTCCCTTTCAGGTGCGAGCTGTGCGACAAGTCCTTCATGCTGCCCACCCACCTGAGCACCCACTTCCGGTCTGGCGTCCACAAGCGGCACCTAGAGAAGGCCGAGATGAAGCAGGTCCTGGAGCAGGAGCAGAAGCGGGAACTCAAGGAGGAGGAGGAGGACAGCCTGCACATCTAAGGCTGGCCCATAAATATATATATAGCAATTATAAGCGATGCAAGAACGACAATGGCGCACAGCCAAGGAGCATTTCTGCGAAATATGAAAACATACAAATTGTAATAGAACTTAATCTTGAATAATAATAAATCCAAGCTTCAAATCCCAAGTACAGTGTAATTATTTAACCCCCGTCACTGCCGCTTCCCTGTGAATGGCAAATGCAAACAGCTGATTGAAACTAGCGTTGTTTACAATAGTTTGCGAGGCAATTCATTTAAATTGTTTTAGCGGCTGGAAAATGAAACCCAAAGTGTGCCGAACTTGTGGGAAAGGCATAACTAATGAGAGATCTTTGAATATATTTGATAAGCACAATGAAACCACGCTGGAGCACATCAAATTACTAACTGGGGCTTCGGTAAGAGGATATTATTGTTTACCGATCTTGTTTATACCATAGTTGTTTTCTTAAAGTTGGAAAACTGTACCACTTTGCCGAATCTGATATGTTTAGCCTGTCAATCTCAAGTGGAACAAGGCATATCCTTTCGGGAACGCTGCTTGGAGGTGGAAAGGGAGCTCCTCGCATCGCTGGACGAAGAAGAAGAGTTCATCAAAAGCCCGCGGGAGTCGCCGAAAATGATCTTGGAGCCCGAGGAGCACCTGGAAGAGCCTCAGATCAGTATTGAAATCGAGCGAATGGACAATGTCAATATAGAACCCAATGAAAGGGACTGTTATAAAGTGGAAGACATCCTCAGCGAATCGGAAATCGACGAGGAAGCGACTAAAGACGATGTAGATTATCGTGATGTGGATTACCTCATTTACGAAAGCGATGAAGATGTGGTCGAAGGTCCAGAACTCAAAAACTCACCTGAGAAGTCGAAAACAAGAAGGAAACGTAGGAAATTCTGCGACTCCACTGGGACCTTCGTTTGCGAGGAGTGCGGAAATCATGTCAAAGGACGAATGGCCTTCGAACTGCATTGCAAGCGGCATCGCGGCGTCAAGGAGTTTGAATGCAAGTAGGTGTTGAACACTCTGATCCTATTTAAGATAATAAGTAATACTTTTCCTTGTAGTTTCTGCCTGGATCGCTTCTGTACGCCGGCGGAATTGAAGCGCCACACTCGCAAACACACCGGGGAAAAGCCCTTCAAGTGCCGTCACTGTTCCCGCAGCTTCTCGGACTACAGCACTCGGCTGAAGCACGAGCGGACCCACACGAACGAGCGGCCCTTTGCCTGCAAGGAGTGCAAGAGCGCCTTCACAACTGCCTACATTCTGAAGAACCACATGCTGGTGCACACCGGCGAGCGGGCTTTTAGGTGAGAGGGGGATCTCTATAAAGGGAATACAATTTATTAATTTACTAATCACTTTACAGGTGCAACCTCTGCGACAAGTCCTTCAGTCGCGATACACACCTCATGACTCACTATCGTTCAAATGCCCACAAACGCAACATGCTGAATGATTCGGAAGAATTCACATAAGAAGTTCTACAGTTCGGGCTCTAACATTAATTAAAAACCTATTTTTATAAGACTAATATTAAAATAAATCAATATAAAATGTATTTACACTATATTTGGCTTTTTAAGGATGAGTTTTAGTCGTTAGTGATCTAATTTGTACTATACATTAGAGAGGATGTTCCCAGAGCCGCAAGATCCAATGACTCATCCTGCTCCTGCTCCGCGGGCATAGGCACTTCTATCGTAAAGCCAACAGCTTCCGCTTGCGGCTGCTTTTCCGTCTGTGGCAGTTGAATTTCCCCCGACTCCGTCTTCGCCTTCTCCACGTTGTGCTTGTGTGTATTCGAGCGGTAGTGGGTCTTCAAGTGGGTGGGTCGCGCAAAGGACCGATGGCACAGCTCACACCTGTTGGAGTTCGTTCGAACAATCATATACTCGAGCAACAATGAATCATTTACTAGCCTGAACAGACGCTCGCCCGTATGGATGAGCATGTGGTTCTTGAGGATGTACGAGTTGGTGAAACTCTTGCCGCACTGGGCACAAACAAAGGGTCGATCATTCGTGTGGGTCCGCTCGTGCCGCAGGCGACCGCTGTAGTTGACGTAGGTGCGTTCGCAGTAGCGGCACTGGAACTTGCGATCCCCGGTGTGCATCACCTGGTGTCCCTTCAGCTCGCCGGAGGAAAGGAAGCGGGCGGGGCACAGCCTAAAAGTATTACAATTTTACAATATAAGAGATCAAGTGAATTATTATTATTTCTTACTCGCACTGAAAGGGTCTAATGCCGCTGTGCTTGCGCAGATGACGATCGAAGGAGGACTTTCCCGTAATGTTGTTGCCACACTGATCGCAAAAGAAAACGGGTAGCGAAACCTTGGGGCGCTTTTCACTTTTCCCGGATTTCTTAAGTCCCCGACGCATCGTTCTCTTCACCCGAACCGGTGAGGCGGGCCCATCGTCCTCGGTGGAGGAGGACATCTCTTTGATGGCCAACTCCATGTCGGCCTCATTGCAGGAGTCCAGGTGATCGATGCCATCGTCTTCCTCGTCCCCATTGCTCAGGCTCTCCAGCTTGATCATGATCTCCAGGGGACTGGGTGGGCTATTCGAGGCGGGCTCCTCATGGCGAGTAGCTCCTCTTTGGGAGCGGGCACTGCGACGAAGTGAGGAGCGGGATGTGGCTTCTCCGCTCCTGGCCACCGATTCCGCGAAGATCTTCTGGCTGCTCAGGCAGCGATCTCGGAAGGATATGGCGCCCTGCAGATCCGATTGGCAGGCTTCACACATCCAGTCGGGCAAGTGGGGCTCACATTGCAGCTGTCGCATAAATAAACCATTTAAATTAGGAGTAATTAGCTTTTTTCATGTGCCTACCAGAACGCCGGTGAGTAAATTGATTTGTTGCAGGACCTTTCGAGCACCATTGTTGAATAGTTTCATCGAATTCGAGCTATCCGTGCTGCTGGCACACACGCGGCACACATTTTGGAGCATTTTCCCAGGTTATTAAAAAATAAATTGATAAATTCCCAATTGTAAACATTGACAGCCACACAAAACAAATTTGGCAGTTACCACGAATCACTCGGATTTTATACTACACTGGAGTCGTTTTGCAACACTGCCTAGTAACCGTAATTAAATAACGGCAGCTACTAGTTTAAAACAACGTTTAAATTTAACATATATAATAAATCTCTTGGATTTTAAAATGTTGTAAGAGAAACCCTTTAATTGTTCACTAAATAAAAATTTTTTATCCATTTATTTGCTCGAGTGTTTTATAATCATTTCAATTAGTTAATATACACTTAGTTTATTGAAAATACGAAGTTCAATGACCATATTGTTTGTTAAATATCTCTGTCCAAAGATTTGGTTTCAAATCTTCACTATGTACTTAAGTAAGATGGACTTTTATTTATGCACCAAAGTAAATAAGATAAGTTTCCTTTTATTTAGATAGTGATGATTTGGAACTTTATTTTCAGACAAAGATGAGCAATGAGTGAAAAAAGTAAAAAATAACTAAAATCTAAATGGCAGAATCGATGGAACATAAAAAATTTATAATTTGCTTGTAGAAATTGCACAAAAAAAGTCTTTATAGATACCATTTCATTCTTCAGTGACTTCTTCATCTCTGAAATCATTGAAAATATACTTCTAAAATGGGTGATTCCTCCAGCTCAAGTGGTTTTCGTCTCCTGACTTTTCACTTTTTGGAGGTGCATCATCGACCGGAAGTGCGTGACAAGGTGCGACTTTCTCTGGAAGAAGCGATCGCAAGGGTCGCACCGGAATTGCCTCTCGCCCGTGTGGATGACCATGTGGTTCTTGAGGACGTAGGCAGTGGTGAACTTCTTGCCACACTCTTCGCAGACATAGGGTCGCTCGTTGGTGTGAATCCTCTCGTGATTCACCCGTCCCATGTAGCTGACATACCTCTTCTCGCAGAAGCGGCAGGCAAACGGTTGCTCGCCGCTGTGGACACGGAGATGGGCACGAAGTTCAGCGGCAGTGAGAAACCTGGCTTCACAGTCCCTGAAAAATATACAAAATTAGCATAAAGATCTAGAATTTCAATCCGTGATCGAGGCTTACTGGCAGCCAAAAGGTCGATCGCCCGTGTGTTTCTTCATGTGCCGCTGGTAAACTGTTTTTGAGGTGGCCTGAGTACCGCACAGCTTGCATATGTAAATCTGATCGTCGGTCTTGGGTTTCCTCGTAGTTCTCAGAATCTTTCGGGGAGGCACGGCGGTCTCATCTATTTCTTTATTCGGAATACAATCCGATAAAAATTGCGACTCCTCTGGTTCCTCGGGCTCCTCTTCAATCAGTACTTGAAACGTTTCTTCCAGCACTTTGTCATCTTTGGTTTCCCTAAAACTGCTGACTGTAGCACATTCATCCGATTCTTCATCCGACGAGGAGTCTTCCTCGATGCTCAGCCATTTTTTCTGGGTCTTGATGCACAGCTTACGGAATGCCAATGCCGATCTGAGTTCCGACTGGCAGCAGAGGCACATAAAACCAGGAACATTATCCAGTGCCACCAACTTGTGTTCAAAACTTATTATTTAATTTTATTTCTTACAGTCACTTTTAGCTTACCCTTAGTCCGGTTATCATGTGCAAGTGCTTGAGATATTTTCGGTTGACCAAATCAAACAGATTCAGACTCCTCTCGCAGATCTTCTGCCTTCCGCACACTCTGCATACGTTGCTCAGCATCTTGTTTCCTCAGCTCGACTGATTGAAATACAATTGCATATTGATCTGTTACAGAATAGATCAGCTGCGCCACATGAAAACGGGTTTAATGTATTCAAGACGGCAAATTGGGGGGTTTGAAAAATAAATTTGTAACTTTATTGAAAAAAGTAAAGTATAAGAAACGGTCTAAAAATAGTAAAACTTATGTTAAATAATAAGTAAACGAGCAAGAAGCATTACAATAAACAAAAGTATCATCTAGAAGGTTAAAATAAGCAAGGCCAATAAAGTTTCGGTCCAAATAAAATTAGGTTGTAAGGCTAAGTAAAACAACAAACAGATTACTTTTAAAATGTTAATATAAGAAAAATTATTGCATGTAAAATGTTGGTCTAAAATATGTTATTACCTTGCTTGTATCTTTAAATACTTTTGTATCTTTCGGTCGTACTTTGTATCCTGCGGTCTGCCCTCTAAGCCCTATTAACAATTGGAAGATTTTGTGTTAAAAATAACTGGTTCTACATAATACATGAAACTGAGATTTTTGGAAGACTACTTGATATTGTACAAAGCTTTTAAGTTTTGTAGGTTTTTTTAGGGATAATTATAACTTGGTGGTAATCAATTTCAACCACTTTCACATTTGATTTTCATCAGTTAAAAATAGTATTTTTGAGATTATAATTTTAAGTTTCCGTTTATCTAACGATAAAGGTTTGATATCAACAATTGAGGTGTTGCAACAATTTAGGGAGATTTTTGTAAAGCAAAAAGACGTATTCAAGCCGTATTTATATGTCTCAGATGACATAGGCACATTTGTGATATTTAAGTTATGGGGCCACTCTATGCTAAATGATTTCAAAAGTTAATTTTAGGCAGCTTAAAATTCTTTGGAAAGTTATGGCTATTGTGTATGTAATTGAATTAATCTTTCTACAATTTAAAAATATATCCAATTTGTGCAAATTTAAAATTTTTTTTTTGTGAGTGTCTTTTTTTATGTTTTTCCATTGACTAACTCTACGGTATCTTGATCTAAGTTAAGTTTCGTGACACAAACTTTCAAATTGGGACTGAACTGGCTGACTAAATGGAATTCTTCTTTCTACAATTTAAAAATATATCCAATTTGTGCAGATTTCATATTTTCTTTTGCGAGTCTCTTTTTTTGGTTTTCCTATTGATTAACCCAATGGTATCATGATCTGAGTTAAGTTTCGTGACACAAAATTTCTAATTGGGACTGAACTTCTTCCTCGTCGATGGGACTAGTTACTTGGGTGCTTTGGGACCAGGTTTCATCGGTTTCAAAACTGACCATAGACATAGATTCCGACGACGATGTAGCCATTTCAGCATTTTGCTTGTGCGTGTTAGAGATGAAGTGGGTGACCAGGTGTTTCTTCAAACTGAACGACCGATCGCAGACATCGCAGCTGAAAAGGGGAAACAATATATTGCTTAGCTAAATTTTCACTAAATGGAGAGTACCTGAACTTCTTGAAAATCCTGTGGGACTCCATGTGGGCCTTCAAAATGCAGGTGCGCGTAAAGGCCTTGCCGCACTGGTCGCACACAAAGGGTCGCTCGTTGGTGTGGACCCTCTCGTGCTTTTTCCGCCCGACGGTGGAGAAGTAGCGACGATCGCAGTAGCGACAGGCAAACGGAGGATCCTCGGTGTGATGGGTGAGATTGTGGGCCTTGAGTTCACTCTTTGCCAAAAAGGTCTTGGGGCACTCCCTGGAAAACATAATTGTGTTAATTATAATTAACATATAACAAGAGAGAACGCTAAAGTATATATATTTTTTTGATTGCGTATAACTTCTTATTGAATGGTCCGATTTGAAAAATGTCTTCTACATTTCGATAGGTATAAATATAACTTCTTATTGAATGGTCCGATTTGAAAAATGTCTTCTACATTTCGATAGGTATAAATATACACAACAAAATTGCAGACACACATTGCCAGACACATTTTAAAATCGTTAGTGGGCGTTAGAGGAGGCGTGGCGCTCGGCTGAAATAAACTTGCACTGCGTAGGAAGCCCAAGAATATGTGTGGAAAATCTCAACCTTCTAGCTTTTGTAGTTTCCGAGATCTCAGCGTTCATACGGACGGACAAAAATTGAATGAAAACATTTGAAGATCTATAGATTTGGTGGGTCAGGTATTATGTAACACCTACTTGCAGGCAAAGGGTCTTTCGCCGGTGTGCTCAAACTGGTGTCTGTCTAAAGATGATTTGCTATTTCTGATGACTCCACATGTGTCGCACTTGTGCAGTTGAACTCTGGGTAGTTTGTACTCCGATTCCAAATCCTCCTCGGCCTCTTCCTTTATGTCGATTTCCAAAAGGTTAACAGCGTCTTCCGAGGTCTCTGGTTCCCCGGAGATCTCCACTGGCTGGTCGAACTCATCGTCACCGCCAGTGGCTTCCTCTGAAGGCTTATTCTCGGTTGATATGACAATGTCCACGACCTCAACCGGCATCATAGATCGCAAATTGCGTCGCTGGTACTTTCTCTTTGGGGGAACAGTTTCCTTTGGCTCCTCCTTTGGTTCCTCCTTTGGCTCTTCCTTCTTTTCGGCCTTCTCCGCCGGCACCCACTTCTTCTGCTCCAAGATGCACTGCCTCCGGAACATCATGGCCGAGTTTAGGTCCGTCTGACAGCAGAAGCACACCATGTCCGGCGCATTGGGAAGCTGCTGAAGCTGCACGATGAAAAGGGCAATGCTCATTCGTAAATTGCGCGATCTATTTATACACAGTTCTTGGCAGAATCTTACGCGAATTCCGGTGATTAGTTGGATGCGGCGCAGGGTGTCCTGTCTGCCGGGCTGGAAGAGCTGCACGGCCTTGGGGCAGAGCCTACTCCGGCCGCAAACTCGGCACACATTTATCAACATCTCACGCTGCTAATTCAAAACAAATAAAGTAAAAAACTGGTTGCTGCCGACGTCCATTCACCACGAAGCGCACGCACAACCAGTATTGTAAAACGATAAAGGGCAGCCCTTTAATTCAAAAGTGCGCGCCAAGGTTTGAGGCACTGATTAGGGCCGCTTTATCCTCCGCCAGTTAAATTTAAAGTAAGCTTTTAAGGCTTAAGCTGTAGTTTAAATTTAACAAAGGGACAACAAAACGAGAAAACTGCCTTTATAACGGTACATATTTATATTAAAATGTAAGAAATAATAATAATTTCTATTTAGGGACAGAAAATATTAAATATTTTTTGATATTTCTATTTATTTTCTCTTGTCCATAATAGACAAAATAATCAAACCTCTACATAATCTTGACCATAAAACATCTATTGTTTATTTTCGGTCCCTATTTGTATCATCTTCCTTAATTAATATAAAATTCAGTTTAACTAATCCTTGTAAAATAACTAATTTTTAACTCAAGGTATAAATAAAAAAACTGAATTTTCGGATGTGTAATTAAGCCTTAAATGAATTTGGTTTATTTTAGGTGGGGGTTTTGAACTACTGCAGGCCCTGGCAAAACTGTTTTGGAAACCTTCATGAATTTAATGTCGAAAGGGTGCGCCGATGAGTGAAGGAAGTCCTAAGCGTTGGAGCAGTCGTGGTCGTCGTACGCCTTGATAACGCTTTCCTTGATCTGCAGGTCCTTGTGGAACAGGATCTCGCTGTGTAGCGCCTCCTCCCGCTCGCGGGCTATCTTCAGCTCCAGGAGATCGAGACGGCGTCGCTCGATCATGACGCGATAGCGATGGAGTTCCTGCTGTCGCTGCCGGAAAGTGGGCAGGCTGGTGGTTCCCACACTAGCACTGCTGGCACTGGAGCACTTGTTGCCGCCCGCTGCTGAACCTGATCCACCCTTCGTCCCGGCGGCCACCTTGCTCACCGCGATGCGACGCCTGGTCGGGGATGTGGTCCTTCGCGCCGCCTCCATGAACGAGGAGCTGGTGGGCGCCGAGACATGGACGCTGATCAGTTCGCTGCGCGGTCGGCATCCTGGCTCCTGGTCCTGGACGGGACTGTTTTTGGGGACCTCCAGCTCGCCGGAGCAGCACGAGTCCGTGTCGTTGGCTATCGACAGGCGCCTGCGGTGGGCAAACCGAGGCGCCACCTCGCGCACCACACACGTCTGCTGCGGCGGCAGGCTGAAGGACTCCAGCTGGAGGTCTGATACCCGGGATGTGCTCGGGATTCGCTCAGGGGCCAGGTCCTTGCTCCGCTTGTACTTGAGCGACTCGTGGGAGGGCTTGTAGCGCAATGCCAGGCTGGGCTTGGCGGTCAGACTGATGTCAGCCGGATCCTCCTGCTCCAATCCAGCTGCTTTCTTTTCGCCCCGCTTAAGGATTCCCTCGAACAGGCGCCGCCAGTAGAGGATGGCTCGTTCCTTGCAGCTGATCTCCCTTACCTCCGGCAGAGAGGTGGCCGATGATTGGTGATTGGTGGCTTCCCTTTTCTCCAGATCGCGCACCAGAAGCAGCCAGTTCTCGGTGGCCGTGCGTTTCCTGGCGGGCGCATTGGTGACCTGAACGCGGCGGTAGTTGACCAAGGAATCGAAGGTCTCCTCCTCCTCGTTTAGCTTCCACATGACGCGGCGACTGTTGCTGGACATGGACTGTCCAAAGGCCTCGTCTGAAATCGAATAAAAATAATAAAAATAATAATCATCATCAGCTTCCTTGCATAAACTCACCCGACTTGTGGCTTCGATCCATGGAGATCACTTGACTTTTCCGTTGAACAAATCAACTACTCCAACTTGAAATCGCCACGGGCCAGCAGTAGTTCTGGTTTTGAATTTTTAAGAGCAAACTAATTTGTAAGTCCGGTCTGTGTGTTTCTGAAAAAGATCTGAAATTTTGTGGGCACGGAATAAAATACACCTATCACACATTCTCCAAAAAGATCGTGGCCTACTAACAACAGATGTTGGTTCTTTGGTTTTTGATCTTTAATTGGTATTCATCTCATCGAGTGTATAAAATCTCGTAAGTTATTTGTTTTTCTTCTTTTTTTTATTAACTATCCGTTTTACACGCGCATTAAAAGTATGTTAACATTTTGCGTTTAACGAGATGACATAAATATTATACAGGTAAATTATTCAACATAGGATGTGGCTTTGGTTTTGTTCCAGCTTCTAGCGGTTTTTATTTTTATTAATTAAAATTCTCGTTTTTAAAAGCATGAGATTTGTGGACTGTTGAGAGTTTTGCGATCGGCTTGTGCGCTAATTGGCTATGAAACCACAAAAAGGTCTTACAAATTATGTTTAGAAAATGTCTGTGAACATTAGTGACTAGGCATCAATCCTCAGTTCCTTTCAGGCGGGGATAATTGAGCGTGATTTATCGGGGGAGCTTGCCAATAGGCAGAATAGGTGAGAAGAATTTCGCAAGGACTTTGCGGCACTATAATGGAGGGTTTTCGCTTAGTTTTTAACGCTCTAAAATGTTTTATACGATTTTAGCTAATTTCGCTTTCTTGTAAACGTTTTTCCGCTTGGGCTTGCTTTGTTTTTTTAGTACCGTCTTGAACATGTTATTTACGCTATACGCTAGTTTTATATAAAGTATTTTCATTAAAGTACACACATGGTCTAGAATTTAGCTGGGCTTCATTTGGGTTAGTTATCTTCTTTTGAATGAACTACTAATGAATTATTTTGCTGCCCATCCTAAGCGCAATTCACATGATTCTGTTTTTGACTAGATTTTCTGAGATATTCTATTTGGTTTTTACAATTCTTTTAAAGATTCGAGCTATCTGTGAACTATCATAAATTATTTGCACACATTAAATTTGTTTTGGGTGTTTTTTAATATTTTTTTACAAAAAAATTGTCATCTTAAAAATGTGAAAATTATTCAAGTTTAAGTTTTTGCTTGTTGTCTTATATTGGTTCCAATTGATGCTTAAATGTTAACAATTTTTGTATATAAAACCGTTAAATATATGTATATAAGAGTGTGTGTGTATGTTATCATAAACCTTACTATACATAAGTTTTAATATGCTACATATGTTTTTTTTGTTTCTGTTTGGTTTCCTCCTCGGCCATGAGCAATTCAGCTGCCTTCTGCAATTTACCTTAACTTCACTTCATTACACTTCATCTTATTCAATTTCGATCCTGTATATTGCTAAACTTTCGCATGTATATTTGTTGCTGGTTGGCTGGTGTTGCTGTCTATGTGGCTAATCATAAGTTACTGGACGACACAGCGAGAAGACGAAGACGATGGCATACCACACCTCGGTGAAGTAGAGGGCTATCTGCAGGGTGCACAGGCAGTACTCCAGGCGCAGTCGGTAGGTCTGCAGCAGCAGCAGATAGGAGACGCCCACGAAGCAGGGGGCGGTCATGAAGACCGACAGAATGGCTGACCAACCTGGAATCAAAAGGTAGAAAATTCTATTAGAAGCTGTTGAAGCTGGATCTTGATAACAAATCGGTTGCATATGGATAAGAACTGCTGACTATTCGAACTATTGGCATCACAATTACAATGCTTTAGAATAGAATCCACGAATTTTGAGGCTTTTAAAGAATTGATATAAATATTTTGATACAAATTTAATAAATATAAATGTTATCAAAATATTTAATTTTTATGTTTTACCTATTAAAATAATTATTAAATTAAAATTTCTTTAAAATAACTTTTTAATAGAGAATTAAAATGTTATAATAACTCAATTATGCCTCAAATAATAACGTTCTCAACAATAGTATTGTTTTGTTAAATCCCAAATTAAGATTTAAAATTTAGAATATAATTCACAAATTTTAGGTCTCTTAAAAATGATATAAATATTTTGATTAAATTTTAGTAAATATAAATTGTATCGAAATATTTAATTTATAAATTGAATGAACATTTTTTAGAAAAACATTTAAATAGAGAATTAAAATATTATAATTACAGAATTATGCGTCAAGGAATAACACTTTCTACAATAGTATTGTCTTATTAAATCCTAAATGTAGATTTAGAATTTAGAATATAATTCAAAGATTTTAGCCGTTTTAAAAATGATATAAATATTTTGATTACATTTTAGTAAAAATAAAAATATAAATTGTATCAAAAAATGTAATTTTTAAGCTTTAAATTAAATGAAAGCTGTATAATTAATTAAATTAAAATATTATAATAACTAAATTATGAGTCAAGTAATAACACTCTCTACAATAGTATTGTCTTGTTAAATCCTAAATTTAGATTGGCACCCGCCCGCTTTCTACCTCGATCGGCCAGCGAACTCATGCGACCCATTATCAGGCGGATCGACTCGAAGACAATGAAGCTAATCATCACCCCCGTGTCCAGGGCCAGAGTGTGTCCCGTGTAGCTCAGATTGATGGCCTTCAGGAGGCCCATGGCCATCTCGCAACAGGCGAACATGCCGAAGTAGAACGAGTTGAGGTAGATCAACACCTCGTAGTTCATGCTGGGATTCGGCTTCTTCGGCACGAGCGGCGGAGGTCGCTTGGGCGGCATCTTTCCGCCGGCTTAGCACCTCCTCCTCGTTATGTTCCTGTTACCCCTTGATGTAGTCTTTAGCAAATTGGCCCGAATCGATCTCCCGGATCGCTCACACGGCGGCGTTGCTCACGTTGGGCACTGTATTTATAGACTGACCATAATAATAACGCGGACCTGCCGTGCTGCTCGCTTGGTTAATGCAGCGGCATCGGTTTGTCGCTGGGAAATGTGCTGTTTATTTGAATAATGTGCCGCTGGTCGTTGTCGCCTTTTATTTGTTTTCTCTGCTCGGTGTTTTGGTCAGCAATGACCGACGGATGGCCTGCCCAGAAATGTGGGCGAATGATTTCACTGGCCATGACTGGGTTATTAGACGAAATGCTATTAAAACTCCCTGGACGGACGGCTCCCGCGGGCAAAGAACTGCCTTAAAATGTTTCATTAGGGGGAATTTGTAAGCCGAGTATAGGTAGGTGTTTAAAATTAATTTAGAATTTAATATTACTCGATTTGTTAATATTAAACAGCAGTTTATTGCACCCAAAAAAATCGATATGAAGCGTAGATCGATTTTACATGAAGTAATATAAATTTTAACTTGATATTTGTCCGAAGGACTTCAGTTTCCAGTGCCATTTTCTTTAAATTAATTTTAGTATTGTATACTAGCTTTAATATGACAAAATAAAAAAATAAATTAACTTGATATGGGGCCAGGTAAATTTGATATGTTCAAAATGTAAAAACGATATGGGTTTTGCATAACCAGAAATTTACATGCACATATCGATTTTACGGTGACATGTTTTTTTTGTGTGTGGTTAATTCTGCATGCTCTTTTAAAAATAATTAAAAAGGATTTTCCTATAGCCTTTAATCATTCATTATACCTCGCTAAGGTCTCCTAAAGCCCTCTCCTGTTAGACAGGGGATGATGGCTAGCCAAGACCGAAGTGAGAGCCCTCTCATCTGGCCATTTTAGCCAGCCTAACGTGTCCGCAGTGGCCCGTGTATATTACATTCAAATTAGAAGTGTACATTGCACCTAGGAGACAGCAGCGGTGTTGCACGAGCGTGCTGTTCGCATATAATTTTAGACCATCAGAGCCGTATAAAAATACCGAGAACGAGCGAGTCCGAGGCGCAACTGCGCCAGCAGGGAGGCAACGCCACAAAGGCCGGACAAAAGAATGCAACCAAGAAATGCAAATTAAATGCAGCTTTGCTTTTGATAGAATCGGACGCGTCGTGTTTCGTGGCGATGTGATTCCCGTGGTCGCGAATGATCTGTGCGGGTTATATAAGTTGATTAGGGTCCACGTACCTGGGTGAAAATCCTCCTCAATTGCCACCCAATGGGTATGTTTCGGTACGGAGTTTACTGTTTTTTAAGTGGATCCTTAAGCGGTCTTTGTAGTTTAGTCTGCTTCAAAGTGGCTCAGTTTAGAGGCCTTTGCGAATCTCTCGATGTGTATGTGCCAAAGGAAGGTGTCTCGTCTTCGTCGTAGTCGTCTCTCGGCTGTGGATGCTCCTCCTCCTTCTCCTCCAGGTGGGAGTTGTGGTGCTGGCTTGGTCTTGATCTCGATCTTGGTCGTTGACGTGGCGGCGGCAACGTGGCTCATCAACTGCTAGGTGTATGTTACGGGGCGACACATTGTACAAATGAATATGCTGGCGTAGACTAGTTCAGCACCTTGTAGGATGATCATTAAGGCACTCAGAATAATTTCGAGCTTGAGAACATAGGTTTGAAAGCAACACAAGTAGATAACAATAGCAAGACTGGGCAGTGTTAATATTACGGATGCGGTTGCTTGCCAGCCTGTAATGGGAAGAAAATAGATAATGTAAACTAAATCAGTACGGAAAATAATAGAAGATGACGATCGTTTGATTTGTTTATAATAATGTTTGTCGGCGGTTGTCTTAGAAAGGTTTACATATATAAAATTGATAATTAAATGGTATAAAGCTAGCACTTTTTGAAAAACCAATTGATTTTTGTTAGTTTTTTTGCAAGAGCTTTACTAAAATGTTTATTTTTGTGCGAGCGGCATATAATCTTGTACTTATTTTATGAAACTTGAGTTATTTATTGTCAGTAAAATGATTTTTTATATAGGAACTTCTATACAATTAGATAACTTTTTATCGTTGTAGATTTTTCTGCCACCCCCATTTTAAAAATTTAGCACTTTTCTGATAACCAATTGATTTTAGTTAGTTTTTTGGGAGCGGCATTTAATCTAGTACTTATTTTATGAATCTTGAGCTATTCATTGTCAGTAAAATGATTTTATATATAGGAACCCCTAAATTATAGCTATATTTATCTAGAAAAAAAAATTGTTTAATCTTTGTAGATTTTTCTGCCACCCACATTTTAAAAAATATCCCCTCTACCAGCTCCAAATGGTCTTTGCTAATTACTCTTTCAGCAATCATCCCGATGATTCGCTTTGATAGATTTCCACGGAATATTGCTTAATGTGCCAGAAGGGCGCCTTCCCCTCCTGCCGCCCTAAAACGCTTACACTCATCCGGGGTGATGACCATAATTACGCATACGCCGTGTGGAATACATATACGTATATGTACGCCCAAACGTTTATGGGTTATGGCCTCAGTGGGATGGGAATGGCGATGGGAATGGAAATGGCTATGGTGACCAGGCAAACAAATAATTTCGCCATGTCATCATCGCTGCCGGTGGTGGGCTCATCCTTCCAGGGAAGTAGTTCGAAATAGTAAACTCACCACGATCGCTGAGACTGCTCTTGCGGCCGAAGACGATGCGCAGGGTCTCGATGATGCACAGGGAGAGCAGGATGCCGATCTCCCGGGACAACGCGTTCTCGCCGTAGTCGAGATTGATCGACTTGAGAACGCCCACGCCCACCTCGAAGGCGGCGTACAGGCCGAAGTAGAACGAGTTCAGATACATGAGTATCTCATAGATGAGGCTGGCGTTCATGGTGGCCGCTAGTTCGAAATCGTGACCGCTTCTGTATCCGTTTCTGTTTCCTCCTCCGTTGCGCCCAGTTCCTCAAGGCGGCAGGGGTTGGATGTCACCGGGGCAGTTTGGAGCAGTTCCTCCGGCTTTTCCACAGGCAGCAGCAGGTGTTTCGGCTTCCTTACGCCAGCATTGGGGACCTTTTGGGTGGTGCTATATAGTGGGTGGACCTGATGAACTGAGAAAGTTTAGCTAATTGCAGTATGTCCACTGTGCTACAGTCAAACTTCCACAAAATGTACTGATTAAGTGGGAATATTCTTCCGGTCTTCTTTTGTCGGCATTTGTTCGTCCTACTTTTGGAAGTTTGACTGTATTTACCTATTGCACTCACCTCTTCCAGCGCTTCTTCTTCTCCCTTTCCTTCTCCCCTGCTCTTCTTCTAGCTGCTTCGCCGTTGCTTTTGTTGTTGTTCTGGTTGAGGTCCCGTTGTCATGGGAGTAGGTATGTAATACTCGCAGGCGACAACTCTATGCTAATATTAAGTACATGCGTTCACGTTTATTTATACGCGTGTGCGCTGTTGTTGTTGTTGCTGGCTTGTTGGCGAGAGAAGAGACGAGTGGCACATAGAGGGGCTTATATAAAAACTCTGCCCATCGGAATCGGAACCTCCCCCGCGCTCCAGCACAAGTGTGGCCATGGATTCTTATTAGGATTCCCGATTTCCCAAAAAACCAACAAACCAATTGGTAACACTGGGCGTATGCGCGATTGGGCAACGTTCTCAAAACGTAATCTCATTAAACGTAAACTCCTTTTTACGTAGTACGTAAGAGTCTTCTTCAAGTGAGGGGAAGTGCGAGAGATGAGCGTTCCAGGTTTAGCTAATAATATTCGTCTGTTTATTTTTCCAAGCAATAAAAGAAAAACTGAATAATTTTATAAACATTAAACATTTGTTCGCCACTGAAAAATTTGAATTGCCCGCCAAGAGCTGTCAAATCTGACAGTTGATAGCCATAACGATAACTCCATATTCGATATATTCAGAAATCGGGCATAAGAATCGACATCGCTGTTCTCGATAAACCAAAATATAAGTAAATTAACTTATTTCTCAGGTTTTTCGGATTTTTTGGCTTTTTGCGATGCCAGCCGACCAAATCCAGTACTCGGAGAAGTACTTCGACGACAACTTTGAATACAGGTGGGTGGCAAATGCATTTAGACGGCCGCGCAGTGTTTGTTTACCTTTAAACCGCTTTTCCCACCTTCGCAGGCACGTAATCCTTCCTCCGGATCTGGCCAAACATGTGCCCAAGGCGCACCTGATGACCGAGACGGAGTGGCGCAACCTGGGCGTGCAGCAGAGTCCCGGCTGGGTGCACTACATGGTCCATGCCCCGGAGCCGCATGTGATTCTCTTTCGACGCAAACGCATTCCCGCGGAGGACGCGCCACAGGTGGCCGCCGCCAACGCGGCCCAGGCCATCGCGAATCTGTGCGGTTAGCCAGGATTACTCTTCCGAGGACACTCACCAATGCTCACGCAGTATTTCATAAGTTAGCCTCATCAGATGACCTGATGTAAAATTAATACCCATTCATAGCTTTAAGAGCAGTTCAGCTGGCAAGTTCAAAGACACGAAACGACATGGAGAGGGCGTTTCTGTTAATTTCATTAAGTTTATTTACCTAAAATACAAATCGAAGCGTACGCCGCCTGTGTACAGACAGTTAAAAAGTAGTAATTAATTATTCGACTAATTGTAGCAGCGCCACACCGCCGGCAGCAGGCGATCCGTCCAGCTCTGCGGGCTCAGGTTGCAGTTTTTCAGAGCGTAGTGCTCCATGGCGTACAGTGAGATCAGCGTGGCATTGCCCAGGATCAGCGAGAACCACAGGAAGATGTTGCCCAGCACCTTGGGGGCACTGCGCATGAGGAAGACCAGGGCAACGCCGACGACGCCGAAAAAGAAGAACATCACCGGGAAGAACATTTGCAGGGCAAATCCGAGGACCTGCTCGTGCACCAAAGCGGAGATCATGAACACCGACAGCGAGGCGGCCACCTTGGAGCCCCGGAAGACGTGGCTGTACATATCCTTGTACACGTACTCGTACAGCCAGTCGTGGACGACCACATTCCAGTTCCTGTAGTACGCATCGTACGTGTGCGACGTCCACCAGTCCTTGTAGAACATTCGATCGCCGAAGCGCAGCAGCTCCGCCGTGAAGTTGAGCCACGAGTGAAGGATGAGGTAGAAGCCGCACAGGAAGATCACCGCGCTGGGCAGCATCATGCCGAACAGCTTGAGGATCAGCTGAGACGGACCCATGGGCTCCAGTCCGTACTGCCCAAAGTGCTCGTGGATGTGCCGCTCGTGGATGAAGGCGTAGAGGAAGGCTATGGCCACCACCTCCAAGAGGCGATTCAGGGCGAACTTCCAGCGGATGTGCGAGGTGCGCGGATAGCTGTCCCGGTAGATGAGCGTGGGTGCAAACAGGAAGTAAGTGTAGCAGCTCAGCGGCGGCACAAAGGGTCGTCCAGTGTCGTCCTCCTCCTTCGCGTCTATTCTCTTGGCCTTGCCACCCAAAACCCGCTCTGCATTGTAACGCACAAAGGCGTGCATCTTCATCAGCAGCCGAGTGCTTTCCAGCAGCAGCACGCAGGCGCTCACGAAAGGCAGGTTGAACTTCAGGCAGAGCGAGGTGGACACAAAGCAAAACACCAGCTGGGAGCTGATGTACAGGATTAGGCAGCTGTGCGACCAAAAGCGCTGAAGGGAGCCTGCAAGATAGGGAAAGTTTTTATCATAAAATTCTACAGTAAATTACGGCAGAAACTATTTTGTATTTCCAGGAAATTTCTAAACTTCCTCATAATTTTCAAACTCTTAAATTTGTTTAAATTTTTTAGAAAAGATGATATACAAATTAGGGTTAATTTTGAGTTAATTCTGAGTTATAAAGACCCTACATTTTACAAAGAAAAATATTACATTTTTTAGAAAACTTAATATACAAATTAAGGTTAATTTTGAGTTAAGTCTGAATTATTAAGAGCCAACATTTTACAAAGAAAAACATTACATTTTTTAGAAAACACAAATTATACAAATTACGGTTAATTTTGAGTTAATTCTTAATTATTAAGAGCCAACATTTTACAAAGAAAAACATTAAAACCAGATGACTAACGATTAACTCGCATTCCCTTTGTTATAGTTAAGATAAGTCATCGCAATTTCCTGTTAAAGTGCCTTTACTTAGCTTAAAAGGTTTACATTTCAAACCAGGGACCGAAAATAATTATTATTTTTATTTTTTCAAACAAAAAAATCGGCCACTTATAATAGGCCTAAAAAAAATGATTTTCACCCAAATAATTATCTTTGTCCAATCTATGCATTCCCGCCATGATTTTTAAATTTTTGATTTTTATCTTTTTGTTCAATGGTAATCTTTATTTTTGATAAAAAAAAATAGGACTCAAAAATAATTTTTATTGATGATTTTTATTTTTTTTGCTCAAAATAAAACTCAAAACAGCCTCGCGTGCTTCCTGTAAGACTTTTCGCCAATCTGATTTCACAGCCGTCTAAAGGCTTATCAAAGCAACCTCCACGATTTTTTGCAAATTTTTTTAACCACTTTGTAAAAATAACTTATCCTATGATTTTTATTTTATTCCGATCAAAATAAAACTCATAACAGCCTCGCGGTCCTCCTGTAAGACTTTTCGCCGATCTGATTTCACAGCCGTTCAAAAGGTTATTAAAACTACCCCCACGATTTTTTGCAAATTTTTTTAACCACTTTTAAAAAATAACTTATCCTATGAGTTTTATTTTATTCCAATCATGGATAAGCCATTTTTTTAAAAGTGGTTAAAAAAATTTGCAAAAAATCGTGGAGGTAGTTTTAATAGCCTCTTAAACGGCTGTGAAATCAGATTGGAGAAAAGTCTTACAGGAGGCCCGCGAGGCTGTTTTGAGTTTTATTTTGAGCAAAAAAAATAAAAATCATCAATAAAAATTATTTTTGAGTCCTATTTTTTTTGATCAAAAATAATTATTATGCTCTAAGTAAAATATAAAAATTGAATTTTAATCATTACAAAGTAATTTTTATTATTTAACTTATAATGATTACGGTCCCTGTTTCAAACTGTTTATGAAGCGGATAATGTTTAAATTTTAAAAATGTACAGGCTTTTTTAATGAGACTTTAAATGGAAGTAAGTTTAAGTGCAGTTCATTTTAATAATTTAATTTAACTTATGATAACTTTTTTAAATTGATTTATAGTTAGAAGAGATCGAGGAATAGAAGTTGTATTTGAGTAGTTCATCCAACTTACTGTGCGGTTTCAGCTTGTGCCTGACCAGAGCCCATCCGCGGAAGGCGAAGTAGAGGGCCAGGACGAAGACGTGCTCCAGCAGCCAGACGGCCATTACCCAGTGGAGGCGGCGCAGTCCGCCCCGGAAGGTGCCCAGCCCCAGATCGAACCGCCCCTCCACGAAGTAGTCGTAGCAGATCACGTTCAGCAGGAACATGACCAGAATAATGTAGAAGATGTGGTAGATGGTGCGCATGTGCTCCACCTGCAGCAGAGCGGTGAGGTACGACTCCCGGGCGACGAAGACTTTTTCGGGCAGCTGTCGTCGCGGTTTTTGGCCGGATTTTTCGGCTTGGAGCGGTGGCCTTGGATTCGAGCCATTTGCATGACCATTTGGCGAGTCGCTGACGTCCGCGGGCGCTTGGCTGGTCACGCGATTGTGCCAAGTGCTCTTCCGATCTGATTTCTCGAAATTGGGGAACTCGTGGGCCCGCAGCTCCCGCTGTCTCAGATCCTGGAGCACATCCTCCACCATGCAGGACAGCCGCTGCTCGAAGTCGGTCAGCATTTTGGACTGAAACTTCTGCAGTTTGTCGCGCACAAAGTTGAGATCCGGCAACCTGGGCGGCGCCTGATCCTGGTTCTCCTGCTTTTTCGCCTCCATGATTGGAGTTTAAAAATCTTAGTCCTTAAAAAATTTATAGCCGCGTTACTCAATCAGAGCGACTGCCCCCGGGGACGTCAGTTTGCACAATGTTCGGCTGCGTTGTTTTCAAATCCGCGATGATAACGGCGCTTGGCTGACTTAGCATCAGGGGCGTCGATTTAGGGGGACACAAAAATCGATGCAATAAATCAAATGATTTTCTTTATATTTTTTATTTGACTAAAAATAGGTTGAACATTATTTTAAAATTTTTTTTAATCATAGGTTCTGTTTGGGCTAACCTATTTCCGAATTTAGACTACGTCCCAGACTTCGCTTCTCTTAGTCACTCTCTTCGTTTGATTGAGCTCCACTCGAACGCCCGCGACTCTGGGGACTGGGGACTGGGACCTAATGTTAAGTGCGGTACAATTGTAATTGAAATACATTTGGTTTAATATCTCGCACTTTGAGCAAGGCGATTAGCTGTCAACGGCACTTTAATCAGACTTTTCTACGCCACAAGTGCGATAAGCATACCATTGGCCTCGTGGCGGCTTTTGAGGAGGCGAGTGCACATGCACTTGATTTGTTTACATGATGCTGACACGATTGCCTGCAGGCCGGTGCATTGGGCACAGTGGGGCCAGCACAGTGGAAAACTTTCGAATCACGTAAAAAATAATTAATCAACGTCTTCATAATTAAAATCTACTCTTTTAAGCACGAGTAATTAGCTTTTCTTCAGTTGATAAAAATCAAATTTATTTGAAAACAAAGAAATCGATTTAGGGCTAACGGTAAATAGTAAATTTAAATACTTTTTATTTTAAAATAATTATATTTATATAAATAAACTTATTTTTTAAAAAATAATAAACTGAAAATAAATCAGGGTACAATTTATTTTAAATACGTAAACTAAAAAGAAGTAAAATAAGTTTTAATTCCATTACAAAAAATATAAACCCATTTATGTGGATTTCCAATAATGCACTATAGGCTGGATGACCACTTTTTGTGGCCTTAATTAACAACATAAAAACGAAGCAACAATTTAAAGGTTTTTTTTTTTAATTGCATATATAACATTAAATTTATGTTTTTTATGAAAAAATGGGCATGGTCACGCCTTTTTTTAAAAAAAAAATTTTTTTTTTATGACAAAAATAAACTTTAAAAATTATATTTTTGTATTGTTTTGTTTATAATAAAAAGAATATAATTACCAAAAAAAAATTTGAGTGACTTCCATTTTTTTGTTAAGTGCAATCGAGTTTTAATTATTAAAATCAATATAAGAAACACAAAAAATTAAAAAATACTTTTTAACAAAGTTTTTCTTTTGAAAAGATGGTGTTAAAAAATGTTTTAATTACTAATATATAATTAGAAAGATACCTGTATACCGTTCATTAAAAATATAATCGCAATTGACATTTGTGCACCAATTTTGCGTGTGTTTTGCCGTTTTAGGTCGAGGCCTTTAAATACAGATTTTGGAAAAAGTGGGCAAAAGTGGACCTTCAA